GCCTAAGTATTTTCTCAAAGGTCAATCAAGCCCAATTCTTCACCATCTGGGAGGTGCTGCGAGAGCCAGGCATGGCCTGCAAAATTCAAAGCTGTGTTTCAGGGTGGAGAATGATGGTAGTGGTGGGGGTGGGGGTGCTGCGGAGAGCCTGGCAGCATTCAGGGGGTTCAGAGAAAGCATCATGCAGACACAGGCCATTGGGGAGAGAACATATTCAAGGGATCTTTGTGAACATGGCTGTGCTCACCTGGAATTTGCAGGAGGACAGCTGCAAGTGAGCCCATCCTGGGACATATAGTGAGTTTCAGGCCATCCAGAGCTACAAAGTGAGGAGACCCTGTTGTTGGTTAAGCGGCGATGCCAATGGAGGAGAGTGCTGGATGTATCGGTGACAGAAGAATCACGAACCACGGTTACCTTTCTAGAGTTTTATTGGGAGAGAGAGGGAGAGAGAGAGAGAGAGACCGAGTGGAGGGGGGAGAATCCAGAAGGAGAGAGTGCGGAAAAGAGAGGGCACAGAGGGCACACCCGCTTTTTAGGCTGGGACGCTGTCGCAGGCTGGTGACGTAATTAAGGACATAATCCTTACACCTGTCTCCATTAAGTAAACAACCACAAAAATCCCAGAGTCAGGCGTTGTACACACCTGTCATCCGTGTGTACATCCTCTGCTACACAGCAAGTTCAGCACAGCCTGTCTCAGGGGCTGGGGAGTGGCTCAGTTGGCAGAGGGCTGGCTATGTAAGCATAAGGATACAAGTTCAATCCCCTGGACTTGTATTTAAAAAGCAGGATGTGGTAGAATGCTTATAATTCCAGCACCAGGGAGGCAGAGACATAGGGATCCTTGGGACTCCACAACTAGCTGGCCTAACCTAATGGGTGAGTTCCAGGCCAGTGAGAGACCCTATCTTAAAAATAAAGTAGAAAACATGGCTGTCTGGGCTCTACACGAGTGTGCACACATGTGTATCCCCACCCATCAGCGCTCAACCAAGAAATAGCTAAGGAGGAAAATAAAGGTGCAAGGAATATTCAGAAGGTGTGATGAGGAAGGCTCCGTAAGATGGTGACATTTAGGCAGAGGCCCAAGAATCATGTATGCAAGGTGAGCACAGGCTGTAGAGTGAGACCCTGTTTCAAACATGAAAGTGGGTAAGAAATTTAAGACAATATGAAAAGGCAGAAGCCATCTAAGTATCTAGAGGGAAAACATTCTGGTAGAGGAAACTACCGTGCACAGGCCCCGAGGCAGAAAGATGCGTCATTTGAAGGAACAGGAGGGAAAAGATGTGGTTAGGAGTGGGAGGCGGGGAGGGAGGCAGAAGGGAGAGAGGAATAGAGGTTGAGATGGACAGGAGATGTCTTTCAAATATGAATCAGTTCTGGGAGGTGGGGCGGTGGCGGCGGCGGCGGCGGCGGCGGCGCACGCCTTTGATCCCAACACTCCGGAGGCAGAGCCAGGTGGAGTTCTGTGAGTTCGAGGCCAGCCTGATCTGATCTACAGAGCGAGATCCAGGACAGGCACCAAAACTACACAGAGAAACCCTGTCTCAAAAAACCAAAAAAAAAAAAAAAAAAAAAAAGAAAAAAAAAGAAAAAGAAAGAAAGAAAAAAGAGAATCAATTATTCAGGTAGGAAAACGCAACATGGGGACCACTTTACTTCTGCTAGCCTGGCTGTCAGAATAAAGAAAGTGTTACACACTGGGGAGGCTCCAGTCCCAGAGCACTGTGGATGGAGGTGTGAAAGAGCACAGCTGCTCTGGGAAACAGTGTGGCTATCCCTCAGAAACCTGGAGCCAGTGCGATGTCTCACCAGGGAAAGGTGCCTGGTAAAGACCTGAGTTGAGACCCAGCTGACTCCTGGAAGGTGTATGTGGGGATACATTATGTACCCTAATAAACTCCTCTGGGGATCAGAGGACAGAGCCAGCCACCAAATTAGACACAGAGGTCAGGCAGTGGTGGCACACACCCTTAATCCTGTCACTCCTGAGGCAGAGATCCGTCTGGATCTCTGTGAGTTGAAGGCCACACTGGGAACAGAGCCGGGCGTGGTGGCACATGCCTTTAATCCCAGCACTGGAGATCTCATGTCTTTGCTTGGGAAGGACACACGCCTTTAATCCCAGGAAGTAATATGGCAGGACACAGAAAAGTATATAGGGCATGAGGAAACAGGAACTCACGCTCTTGAGACTGAGGATTTCCCAGAGGTAAGAGTTTGTGGCTGGCTTGTTCTGCTTCTCTGATCTTTCAGCTTTCACTCCAATGTTTGGCTCCAGGTTTTCTATTAATAAGACCTTTTAAGATTCCTGTTACAGTTGTACTTTGACTTCCACACATGTTCAGTGGCATACTTACATGTGTGTGTACATGTGCATGCACATATACATTAAATAAATAAAATGTAAAATCAATTTTTGAAAGTTAAACACAGGGTTTGGAGTGTATAGGAGTATTGCCTACCAAGGGCAAGGTCCTAGGTTCTACCCCTAGCAAGACACACACACACATACACACAACAACAACAACAACAACAATAACCAACCACCCCACCCCCAAAAAAATCAAGAAGAGAAAAGAAATAATCACCATATAAGTCAGTAATTCCATCCCTGGGATTGAAACCAGGGACTTGAACAAATGTATATCCATGAGTGTTCATAACATCTTTGTTCATAAGGGCCAAAAGGTAGACTGAGCCCAAAAGTCCCAATGGGTGACTGGATAAACCCATTGTGGTATGTCTATCAAGTGGAATAGTATTCACCTCCAGAAAAGAGATGGAATTCTGATCCATGTTATCATGGTAGCAAACCTAAGGGAAAAGAAGATTAGTCAAAGAGACATATACATATGGCCACTGTATTAGCTTTCCATTATTGTAACAACATGCAATCAGCTTGTTAGAGGGACAGAGTTATCTTAGTTGATGGTCATAGAGGCTTTAGTCTCCCGGCTTTACTGCTTTGGGCTTATGGGAATCATCACATGAAGGCCAGAGTCTCCATGAATTCCAGGAAGCGAAGGGAGACAGAAACAGGCCTGGATACCAGTATCCCTGTCCAGGGCACATTCCTGATGATCTCACCTGCTTTCACTTACTTCCCCTTTTAAACCAATGTTCTCAACCTGTGGGTCAAGACCCACACAGGGGTCACATATCAGATATTAACATTACAATTCATTAACAGTAGTAAAAAATACAGTTGTGAAATAGCAACAAAAATAGTTTTATGGTTGGGGGTTACCACATGAGGAACTGTATTCAAGGGTCTCAGTTTTAGGAAGGTTGAGAACTGCTGTTATAGAAACAAACAAGGGCTGAAGAGATGTCCCACCAGTTAAGAACATATGCCTCCTACAGAGGACCAGAGTTCAGGTACCAGGCAGCTCACAACTGTCTGTAACTTTAGCTCCAGGGGAGCCAATGCTCCCTTCTGCACTCGTACACAGGGTCCTGTGCTTGCCCAAGTAAACAGTAACAATTGTTGGGGAGAGGAGATTCTGAGTGGCTAGGCTGCCTACCAGTTGAGCTGGAAGCTCCGGCATGCAGCTTTCGTGATCGTCCTCCAGGCTGGGACGGCTTTTCAGGGATGCCTTTGAGTAACCCATGTTTCTGTAGGAAACCTCAACTTCGCCGTGTTAGACTTGGGTGAAATCGTTCTTAGATCTTTTCTGTGTCTTCCCTCTTCCAGCTGAGCTCTACCCCCAACCTCCTACTCAGTAAGCCTTACTAACCAGCCTTTACCTGTCCTTTATCCACCTACTCCTAACTCATCACCCTGAGAGACTCTCCTTTGTCACTTTAAGAAGACTGTTCTGGGGGCTGGGCATGTGCTTGGCAAGCTTGAAGCCCTGGTTCCACCCCCAGCACTGCACAAACAGGACTTGGTGGAGCCCTTACCTGTCATCCCAACACTTTGGAGGGGGAGGCAAGAGGATCAGGAATCCAAGGCCAGTTTTGGCTACAAATTTGGCCAGCCTGGATTGCATAAGATCCTGTCTGGTAACAAACACTTAAAATACCGGTGTAGTCCCCTCCACTCTACCCTGCACCTTCCCCCCAAAAACCCAGCTTGTTAAATTGAATCCTCCGGTGCCATCTCCAGGTAGATATGGATCTAATGCCTTTAAGTGATCAACCTTTGTCCTTCCTGGAAAAGAGAGATCTTTGTATAATTTGTTGTTGTTCACACACACACACACACACCCCACGTGAAAAGGTGTAATTGGGAGGTCAGAAGACAGCTTGCCGTAGGTCTTTTCTTTCTGCTTTTTGTTAGCTTTTTTTTTTTTTTTTTTTTTTTTTTTTGTGAGACAGGGTCTCTCTATGCAGTCCTGGCTATCCTGGAGCTCCCTAAGTAGATCTGGCTGGCCTAGAACTCAGAGATCCTCTGCCTCCTGACTGCTGGGATTAAAGGCGTGGGTCACCATGCCCAGCTCATTTTCTTCTAATAACGTCTAGGGATGCCTTGCAGCCTTGTGTCAAATGCCTGTCATTCGGGAGACAGAGTCAGCAATTTAAGGCCAGCCTGAGTACATGGTGAATCCGAGGATAGCTCCCGAGCTACAGGACAAACAACCAAACAACCTGATCCTCCTCAAAGAAAATGAAAATCAAGATGCCTTGTTCTGAGAGTACACCAGTCACACAAGCTCACTACAGACAAGCCGATAAAGCAGGCCACAAGTGCAGCCCGCTTTTAAGGAGAAATCCCTTTCGGGTGGGTCTGACACATGCTTTTGCTTGGATTTTTTTTTTTTTTTTTTAACGTGGACAATGATTAATTTTGAAACATTTTGCTTGTGGAGCAGCCTGAGCAGCCGTGGAGCGGATTGCAACAGGCTCAGTCTGGGTGAAGGTCATTCTGCGTGCCTGGGCCAGGAAGTACACACGTACCAGCAACACTTTTGCACACTGGGTTCAGGTTTGCACGCTGACAAGGCGCCAGTACTGGGACAAAGGGCAGCTGCTGCGCCTGCGCCAGCCTTCAGCCCTTTCCGGAAGGAGTTTCGACCCCGCCCCTGGTGGCGTCATGATCGAGTTGCCATGGCGCTGCTGAACAGTCTGGCTTCCTCGCTGGAGTCCTACAGGGGCCGGGACCGCCTGGTGAGAGGAGGCTTGGGTCCGTGCTGGGCCGGAGTGACCTGGAGTTTGGTCAGAGCTCAGAGACAGGGAAACTGAGGGCAGAGAGGAGTTCCTAAAGGGACCGGTGTCGGTACAACACACCCCAAGACCAAGTTCTCAGCACAAAGATTTCTTTACCCCAGGAGGACAAAGGGCAGGGAAAGAGAGACAAAGACAGGAGACAGAGGAGGAGGGAGAGGGGGAGGGAACAGGGAGAGGGGGGAAGGAGTATTTGTCCTGCCGGGACAGAGGACTGCCTCTGGATAGAGAGGAGACAGATGTGGCCCATAGGCAAATGGCAGTTTATAAGGGTTAAAGGAAAACCCCCTTGTTAGGATGAGGTGCTTGATTTTAATTGGACATGCTAATTAGGGCAGCTGAAGGGGGCTTTTGATTGCTGGACTTCAATACTCTGATAGCTGGACCTTGGTAGTCAGCCTCAGGAGGAGGAAGTGGCCAAATAAGGGACTAGACCTTGGGGGCTAGCTTTAGGAATGTAATCTAATGCTTTTTAGCTTGCTAGCTAGTGCCTTGGTCCTCGTCCAGATCAATCACAAACACTCATCTAGTGTTGGACATTTGAGGTCAAACCTGCCAATCCAGCCCTGCTCAATCAAATAATGACCAAGATCTCACCAAGTCACCAGTGTTCTTGGATTGGAGGAGCAACCTCAAATAGGGGTAGCGCGTTACATGGCTTCCCCTGTAGCTGAACATTCATGTTATGACAGAATCCCCTCCAGTTGGGCACTTGGTTTATTTCAGCCAAACGTGGCCAGACTTCAGGACCTAGCCATGACGACTCCGCATCAAATCCACTGTAGCTGGTCACTTAGATTGTTTCTTGGATGGACAGCCATACCAATCAGATCCCTGTATTTGGACATTTAGTATCTGCCTAGCCACTATATATGTCTTGAGTTGCCACAGACACCTCACATGGGGATTTTGGATGTTCCAAAGCGGGTGCTGCATCTGAAATATTTTGGTAACAGTAAAATTCCATCTACTTGAGCATTTTGGTTGGTCCACTTAGGCTTCTGAGGTTAGGCATAGTTTTCCTGACCAGTTCCTTATAGGCAGACATTAGTGGTGGCTCCACGATTACATTCAACCCCTTTCTCTCCTAAGTTGGACATCTAAATTACAGTGTTCCCCATTACAGCCAAGCTGAAAAGGAGTTATAATCAATAGGAGCAAGGCCTTGCTGGGGCTCAGTACGTAACCCAGGCTGGTGTCTTACATGATATCCTCCTACCTCAGCCTCCCAAGTTGCTGGGATGACAAGTGTGTATCACCACACACAGCTTGAAAGCAATGATTTCTGACAAGCAAATGAAATAATGAAAGAGCTGAGTCTGTAGCCCAGTGCTTTCCTAACATAGACAAAGCCTTGAGGCCCATCCTCAGCACCGAATAAACCAGATATGTTGGCACAAGCCTGTGATCTCGGCCCTCATAGAGGGAAGATCAGGAGTTCAAGGCCAGCTTGGGCTACATGATACCATCTCAAACACAAAAGAAACAAAGATACAAGGGTGTGAGCCTGCTGAATCTCCGTGATTGAGGTCTCTTATTGAATGCCTTCCTTCTCTCTAAAGTGTTTGAAGCAAATTACTATTTTGTCGCTTAGACTGTTCCTTCAGTCCAGCTAAGGCTTTGGCTAGGCCAGGAATAGAAGTTTTCTCTCAGCCTCGTGCCCTGCCTGTGGGCAAAAGAGAACCCAGGAGACAGAAATAGTTGTGCTTTCTTTGTCCCTGCCATTTCGACCTCTGGCGACACAAGCCAGCAGTCCTGTGGACCTCTCCATGGCAGGTCTTCTTTCTTCCCTTTCCTCCCTCCTCTCTCCTCTCTTTGTTGAAGCAGGGTCTTATGTAGCCCCGGCTGGCCTTGAACTTTCTTGTCTTCCTGCCTCAGCTCCCCTGGCACTGGGATGACAGGTGTGCCTCACCACACCTGGCTATGTGGCACTTTTTGGATTTTGATGTCACGCTCTCCTCTAAAAGAACCTCTTGAGAGCCTGGGACGTTGGTAGAGTGCTTGCGTAGCATGCAGGAGGCCTTGGGTTCACCCCCAGCACCGTGTATTCCAAACATGTTGCACAGCTCTCATTCCAGCACGTGGGAGGTAGAAGCAGAGGGTTAGCAATTCTAATCATGACCATGGACAGTGGTTAGCCTAGGCTACAGGAGACCTTGTCTCAAATCGACAACAACTACCATAAAGTTATATCTTTAAAGGAAAGAAAGAAACTTTCAGTTTGTAGCCAGGTAAAGTGCTTCATGCCTGTTATTACAGCACTGGAATGCTGAGGCAGGGGGATGACAGTGACTTGCTATGTGGTGAGTGAGGTGAGAGTGAGAGCCAGCCTCAGCAACCAAAAGAAGGGAACAAAAGACACAAACAAAACCTTTCAGTTTGGGTCGGAAGTTTGCTGACTCTTAGAACTTTTTGGTTTTTTTGAGACAGGATCTCACTCAATAGCCCAGGCTGGCCTTGAACTTATGGGTGATCCTCCTGCCTCAGTCTCTCAAGTTCTGAGAAGTATAGGCCTGTGCCACCATGCCTGGCAACTCTTAGAACCCTTTCCAGGTTCCATCCTGAGGGCCCATGGCTGGGTGTGGTGGGGATTGCAGCTCAGCGAGTGAAAGAGACTGTGGTAACTGCTTCTGCTCTCCCACAGATCCGGACACTGGGTTACTGCTGCCAGCTCGTCGGTGGGGTCCTAGTGGAACAATGTCCCAGCAGGTCTGACGTGGGAAGGCGCTTGCTGGTGGTGTCAGCCCAGCTCAGCCATTGCAGGACTGTCTTGCGACTCTTTGATGACCCGGCCATGTTTGTCTACACTAAACAGTATGGCCTGGGGACAGAGGTAACAGGGTTGATGGGGCTGTGGGGAGAGGGGGTAGACCTTCCCGAGGAACTAGGAGCAATGGCCTCAGTGCGTATTTTAAGGGCTTCTTATTGGGTGATCTTATTATTGGCCATGGAACTGGGGCCTTGTACATGTTCCTTAAGCACTTTACTGCTAAGCCCCCACACTGCCTCTCAGTGGGGGAATCTAGGCAGGGGCTCTGCTGCTGAGCCACACCCCAAACTTGATCACCAGAGTTTAGGTCCCTGGAACGTACAGTGGACAGAGAAAACCCACTCCTAAAAGTTGTCCTTTGGCCTCCTCCTGCATGCCCACACTCACATCACACACACACACACACACTTTTTAAAAGCCTCTGAACCATGGGTGGGGGCTTCCAGTAGTAATCACCCTAGCACTTGAGAGGCAGAGGCAGGTGGATGTGAGGTTGAGATCTGGGCTGGGGAGATGGTCAGTCAGTCTGTGAAATGCCTGTTGTGCAACCAGAGAACCTCAGTGTGAGTCTCCAAACCCCTGTAAACTAAGTGTGGTGGCTCATGCTTGTGATTCCAGTGCTGTAGAGGCATACAGGAGGGGCCTTAGGATGCACTGGCCAGTCAGCCTCGCCTGTTTAGTAAGCTTCAGGACGTGAGAGACACAGTCTCAAAAAACAGTGCAGGCTGTGGAGATGGCTCAGCAGCTTAAAGTGCTTGTGAGGGCCTGAGTTCAAATCTCTAGAACCCACAGAATGTGCCAGTCTATGATCCTAGCATTTCTTCAGGGAGGTGGGAAGTGGAGACTTGAGACTCCCCAGAAGGACAGTTAGCTTGGTGAGCGGAATCAGAAAGCAAGAGACTCTGCCTCAGTCAAAATATAAGGCACGGAAGGAATGAGGTTGTCTTCCAGCGCCACACAAGTGCTGTGGCAAGCATGCACCCGTACTCATGTACAAGAATGCACACACACCCCTCATATACACACCAAGAATTACAAAACAAAAACAAAAAATGGGTTGGAAATGGACTGGCAGTTAAAAGCAGAGTTTGATGCCCAGCTCCCACATTAGAGAGCTCACAACTGTCTGTAACTCCATCTCTAGAGAATCCCATATTCTCTTCTGGCCTCCAAAGGCACTTATACTCAAGTGCATAACACACACACACACACACACACACACACACACACACACACACACACACACACACACACACCACACCACACCATATACACAGAGTTTAAGATCATTCTCAGCTATATAGGGATTTTGAGACCACCTGGGATATATGAGATCCCATTTTTAAAACAAAATTCTTAGGCCAGACAGATGGCTCAGTGGTTAAGAGTGCTTGTTGTTTAATTATGAGGTGGAGGTAGGGTTCCCAGCATCCATGTACGGCAGCTCATAAATGCCTCTTTCTCCAGCTTCAAGGGGTCCTATGCTGTTCTGGCCTTGGAGGTCCTGCATACACATGGCTGTGTTTGTACATGCACGTGCACACGCACACACACACACACACACACACCAAATAAATAAATAAAAATGAAATAACAGCAACAACAAACCTTTGGTGTCTATCCCAGTTGGTGCAGGGCTTGGGGTTTTGACAGCTCTCCAGATAATTCTATTGCCTGAGTTCAGACCTGTGTCTCAGCTGTCCAATGAGCATGAGCAGAGGAAGGCAGGCCTGCATGGGCCCCCGAGCTCTCTTCTTGTACAGCTGTTAGAGGTGGGCTGTCCTGCCCAGACACCAGGGCACAGACTGTGGTCATGGGAACGTCTTGTGGCCCAGAATGGCACTAAGTCAGGCAGTGAGCAGGTCTAACTTTCAGGCCTATCCCCACCACTTGGTTTCACAGGAGGAGGACATCTTCATCCGATGGCTGTCTGTCCTGAGTAACATGGCTGACCAGCTGTACTACCCTTGTGAGCATGTCGCCTGGGCTGCCGATGCCAAGGTCCTCCAGGTGGACTCTGCTCGGTGGTGGACACTGAGCACAGCCCTCTGGATTCTCTCTCTACTCCTTGGAGTTGTCAGGTATGTGACATCTGCCAGAGGGGACACCAGAAGTCCCCAAGAGGTGTTAACCTCAGCAAAGCTGTAGGGGTGCCAACCCTTACATGTTTCGTTAGGAGGCTCGAAGGAGGGGGCCAGTCTTCACATATTGGAGTTTCCTTCCTTAATGTTTTTTTTTTTTTTAAAGTTTTTCTGTGTATGGGTTTTGCCTGCACACATGTCTGTGCGCCCTGTGTGTGCAGTGCCCACAGAAGCTAAGAGAGGATGGCGGATCCACTGAAACTGGAGTTACAGACAGCTGTGAGCTGCTGTGTGGGTGCTGGGAACCAATCCAGGTCCTTTGTAAGAGCAGCCAGTGTCTCAGCTACCGAGCAGTGTCTGCACCCCCCCCCCCCCCACACACACACACTGCTGTTTGACCCTCTGTGTTTGTTTCTGGTGAGGTAACTGCTCTAACAGTTGGACACAAATGTACTGTTTAAAACAACACAGATCTGTTACAGCGCTGGAGGTCAGAAACCTGAAATCAATTTCATAGGGTAAAGTCCAGGCGGGTCAAGGCTGGTCCCTCCCTGGAGGCTCCATAGCCTTTTTCCAGTTCTAGAGGGCCCATCCCTTTGCTTGTGGCCCCTTCCTCCTTCAGATCGAGCACCACAGAGTCTTAGAATCTCTCTGCTTTCTGACAGCCCCACCTCCCACCCCTTCTCTCCTTCTCTCTCTCTTTCCCTCTCTCTTAAAAGATGTATTTATTGTTGAAAAGCTTTTAAAGAAAGGTTTTATTTTCAATTATGTTCATGGCTTCATGCATATGAGCGTAGTGCCTGTGCCAGAAGGAGGGTGTTGGAGTCTCTGGGGCTGGAGTGACCTGCAGTGAGCTGCCCAACGTGAGTGCTGGGAATGGAATCCACCCTCTGTTAAGAGCAGAAACACTTGCTCCTGACCCACCAAGTCCCTTCTCCAGTCTCATAAAAATGGGTTTGCTAATTGATTGTGTGTGAATGTAGTAGGTGTATGTGCCTGGCGGAGGCCAGATGGAGACACAGAGTGTCCTCTGTCACTCTTTTTGGCCGTTTCCTTTGAGGGGGTGTCTTGGCCTGAACCCAGAGCTTGTGTTTTGGCTACTTCGGCAGCCAGCGAGCCTCAATGCCCCCCCCCCCCCCCCCCCCCCCCCCCCCCCGCCTCCCCCCCGTCTCTGCTCTCCCGTCCCCAGTACTGGGGTTACATGTCCTGCTTGCCATGTGGGCGCTGGGATCTGAACTAAAGTCCCAATGGTTGTAAGCAAGTATTCTTAACCACGGGGCCATTTCCCATGCGCCTCTCTGCTTTTCTTTTTAATTATTTTTTATTTCTCTTTGCTTTTATGCCTGTATGTGTGAGTGTGTGGAGGCCAGAAGTCAACCTCAGATGGCATTACTCAGTCATTCCCCTTTATTTTACATTTTTTTATTTAATTAAATTTCTTTAAATTATTTGTGTGTGGGGACATGTGTGCACTGTAGTGCACATGTGGAGTTCAGAGGACAACTTACAGAAGTTAGTTCTTTCCCTGAACCATCTGGGTTCTGGGGATTGAACTCAGGTCCTTAGGTTTGGTGGCAAGCACCTCTGCCTGCTGAGCCGTCTTGCTGGCCCTCCATCTTTTTTTCTTCTTTCTGTTCTTACTGGCCTGGGCCTTACTAACTCAGCTACGCTGGTTGTCCAGTGAGCACCAGGTCCCCTCCGCACTGATTGGTGAAGGGTTCTCTCTCCAGCCCTCTTTTTACTCACTTTTTTCTTTGTATTTATTGACTTCATTTACTTGTGTGTGTGCACATGCGCACATGTATGGAGGTCAGAGGACAACTTGGGCAGTTATTTCCTTTACCCAGGGAATATTGGGATCCAACTTAGGGAACAGGCCTGGCTGCAAGGGCCTTTACCCGCCAAGCCGTCTTGACAGCTCTTCCTTTTACTTTTTGAGACAGGGTTTCCTCTGTGTAGGCCTGGCTGTCCTGAAACTCGCTCTGTAGACAAGGCTGGCCTTGAACTCACAGAGATCTCCCTGCCTCTGCCTCCCAGGCATGTGCCACTACCACCCAGCTTCATTTAACTTTTTGAGATAGAACCTCATTAAGTATCCCAGGCAGGCCTTGAATTTGGATCCTCCTGCTTCAACCTCCCAAGAAGCTGTGATGATATGCCCGTGCCACCATGCCTGGCTCTGATAATCCCTTCCCAGCCTTTGGATGTGTGTTCCTCTGACATGCTTGGGCAATATCCAGATGTCCTTTCATGACTATGGTTTCTTGCTGACGTCCGCTGACCTCTGAGGTCCCACCAAGCTTGCTGTCTCCATCCCCATGCACACTGTTGGCTGTCTCCGAGCACTGGGCAGGTCCACAGCACGGTCCATTCTGGTGGGATGTAGGTTAAGTCATAAGTCCCTCCTGGGCTTAGAATGTGGTTCAGTTGGTAAAGTGCTTGTCTAGCATGCACAAGGCCCTGTTTTCCACCCTCAACACTGTATAAACTAGACGTGGTGGCACACGCATGTCATCCCAGAACTCAGGAGGTAGAGGCAAGAGGATCAGGAGTTCAAGGTCATCCTACACTAAGTTCAAGGCCAGCTTGTGCTACAGGAGAACCTGTTCTAACTTCATTCTGTTGCTGTGGCAAATCACTCTGACTAAAACCAGCTCGGGGAGGAAAGGGTTTATATGGCTTATACTTCCAGGTCACAGTCCATCGTTGAGGGAAGTCAGAGCAGGAACTGAAGGCAGAGAGCCATGGAGGGGCTGCTTGCTGGCTCACTCACAGGTGCCATGACCTGCAGAGTTTGGATCTGGAACCCTGACCAGGGAGGCCAAGGGAGTGAAGAAAGGACAGTGACACTAAAGAATGGACAGAAAAGCTGGGACTCTGGTCTACATAGTGAGTTTCAGGGAAGCCAGGTTTACATAGTTAGATCCTGTCTCAAAAACAAAATCATCCAGCCACTACCACCACCAAAAGAGTAAAGAAAGAGAAAAGCCAGGCTGAGGTCGGGCAGGATGTGCGCACTTTCGTGGAGTGGAGGCGTCTGCCACTGCATGTACTGCTGGCTGCACCCAGGAACCTCAGTTTACTACGTGTGGTACAGGGGGAGGGGGAGAGGGCGGGGGTCAGATGGTCTCAGAAGGAACTGTCTGTAGGCAGCAGCCTCAGACTAAACATCTGCGAGGCGGCGGCTGCGGTAGCTAGTTACTGTACACACTGGCCAATCATCACACTCGGATCCTCTAGGAAACCTTTGCCATCCCTCTGGCCTCTCCCCCCGGGAGGCTTTGCCACTCACGCGGGGCTAAGGCATTGCAGTCTTTGACATGGCCGTGCCGAGTCAACAATACCTAGGACTCCTGTCACTCAGGGCTTCCTCCATTCTCTAGTTAATAACGTGACCCTGATATGCCCACAGGCTAATCTGACCCTCAGTCAAGGCTTTCCTCTCAGGTGACTCCAGGCTAACTCAGTTTGACAATTAAAGCTGACTAGGACAGAACGCCAGACTTCACCCCTAAAAGCGACAAGTCTCTCTCCCAAGGCACAGTGAGCCTGTAGCTCTGTGCAGGAGGCTGCAAGCAGGACCACTGCTGGCCAAGTATGGAGGGTGGCTGGTCTCAGTTCCCTAGGTTGAAGGCAGTGGAGGCTCTTGCTGCCTTAGCTGCTGTGGAGAGCTGACCCCCTCCTCCCCCAGCTTGCCATGCTGCTCTGGCAGGGCATCCCTATGGTCTTCTGTGTTGCAGGTCCCTGTGGACAGCACTGAAGCTAAGACAGAAGCTGTGGAGCCTCACAGGCACCTTCACCAGGTACCCATCCTAACTTTCTCCTGCAAGGTGCACAGAGTGCACTTCTCTCAGCCATGCCCCTGCTGACCTTTGCAGGGCTAATGTGGGAACCCTTTCCCTGGAAAGTTGAAAATGGATGTCTGCCATGCTTCCTGGGACATCAGTAACAAACTAAAGTATGGTTTGGTCAAATTCCAACTTGTGGAACCAAACAGCGGGAGTGTGGGTGACCCCCAAACAGCTGTATCATGGGGAAGTCTTACCCCAGCATGGATGACAACTTCCTCATGGCTGCATAGCACCTCCTGCAATTAGGGCAGAACTGCAAACAGCAGAGCTGGGAGGTCAGAAGGAAGCAACTAGAATGTCAGCTGAAGGTCCAGTGACCCCCCCCCCCCTCCCCACCTCTCCATATACGAGGAAAGGCCATGGTCAACAACCCCGTTGGCTGAAAGGTTCAGGAATAGATCACTACAAAAGGGTGGGTGTAAACGGTGTGTGTGTGTGTGTGTGTGTGTGTGGTAGCGCACGCCTTTAATGCAGGAGGATTTCTGTGAGTTTGAAGTCAACCTGGTCTACAGAGCAAGTGTCAGGACAGCCAGGGCTACACAGAGGAACCCTGTCTCGAACAACACCCCCCCCCCCCCCCCCCCCCCCCGCAAAAAAAAGTGTGTATTTGTGTGGTTCAGGGGATAAATCACTACAAAAGGGTGGTGTGTGTGTGTGTGTGTGTGTGTGTGTGTGTGTGTGTGTGTGTGTGTGTGTATGTGTTCAAAGAGCATTGCTTTAGTCTCTGGGAGGGAAGTAGTACCTTTCCCAGGTAGGGAAACAGGCTTGTTAGAAGGAGGACTACAGGCTGAGCCTTCATGGCTGCATCCCATGGCAGGGTGGGTGATGAGGACAATGCCCACAGCCCTACACGTGCCCAGGGATCCCGGAAAGAAGGTGTGGAATTGAGGTTGTGGGCCACTCTGTGCCTGCTCCTTTCTGGGGCCATGGGAGGGCAGGCGATGAGTGGCTCCCTCCTCTTTCTCTCCCACAGCCAGCTGCCCCGGAGCAAGCGGAGGGCCATGGAGGCAAGGATGTGGTCAGAGGTTTTAACTCTACTCAGCAACCTGGCTGACCTGGCAAACGCTGTGCACTGGCTGCCCCGAGGCGTCCTGTGGGCCGGTCGCTTCCCTCCGTGGCTGGTGGGCCTCATGGGCACCATCTCCTCCCTCCTCAGCATGTATCAGGCCGCCAGGGCTGGCGGCACAGCGGAGGCAGACAGCTCTGGATGAGGCCCTGGAGTGGCAGGTGGAGGACACTGGGGGGCTCCACAGAGGGCTCAGATTCCCAGAGTGGGAACCACCGGCCAGGGTTGCTTCCATGATTGTGTACTCCAGTAGCTGTCTCCTGGGTGGGGTGGGAAAAAGGCTGGTAGATCTCAGGTCCTAGCTAGGGCTTCAGGGGAAGCTGCTTCTCTGGGGAGTGGGAGGCACATGAGGAGGACCCCAGGACTCCCAGAGCCAAGGCCAGGCTCTTGAAGTCCTGGGAGGCCTCTGCTAGAACCTCCCACTTGCTGGCTTACCTGAAGGTGAATGGGAAAGACATGCCATGCCTGGGGTCGGGCTTTGGGGAGCTGGAATACTGCAGTGCCTATTAAACATCTTGGTATGGTGCCAGTCTGTATGTGAGGTGATTAGAGCAGTCATGCTGGCCGTCCCTCCTCTAGGCCTAAGTCACACGGTTTGCTTACACAGGTGCCGGGACATTAAGTGAGGAATGGCTCATCTCTATTCCACCCCTCAGGACTCCCTCAGCCCACTGGCCTCTCAGGATCTGACTGACCTCTGCTCACTGCGCCCAGGCCGGGGAGGGGATCTGTGTGTCGCTGCCTTCAGGAAGGCCACACCTAAGCGAGAGAACAATCATACCAGTCATGGCATCTTACGGTATCGAGGGCCACAAGGCCTGTTTAAGCTGTGGCCGGGCCATGCTTGCTGGCCTCTCTGAAGATGTGTGGGTTTGTGTCCTATATCAAGGAGACTATAGTAGGGGGGCCTTGTTTTAAAAATCAGTTTAAGTTTTTATTAGTATGTTCCACTATTCCCACTATACGAATCCTGGGGATTGGCTCAGCAGCAAGCACCTCTACCCAGGGGCCATCTCACCGGTCCGCATGTATGATTGTTTATTTTTATTTTTTTGTTTTTTTGAGACAGGATTTCTCTGTAGCTTTGGAGCCTGTCCTGGAACTCACTCTGTAGACCAGGCTGGCCTCGAACTTACAGAGATTCACCTGCCTCTGCCTCCTGAATGTTGCTGGGATTAAAGGTGTGTGCCACCACTGCCTGGCCCAGCCTGGGAGACCAGATACAGCTGCCTTTCAACTTTACATGACACCAACCTTTTGTGCGTGTGTTTTGAGACAGCCCTGCTACATAGGTCAGGCTGCTTCCCAAGTGCAGAAATTTATTTTCCTCCCCCTTTCTCCAAATTTTCTTTTCCCTGCCCCCCTGCCCCTCCAATTTTTGGTACTAGTGATAGATGAGCCAAGAAGTATTCTACTGTCAAGATTCAATGGCCCCAACCCCCCACCCTTTTGGTGTTGGCCAGAAGTCCAAGAAACTTTGGTTTTACAAAGAAGATAGGTATTTGTGAACCACTGGGATGCTGGGACCACTTGGGGTAGTGGGGTACAAGAGGAGCCCCAACAGAGCACTCCAGCCTCTCACTTGTGGAGCATCTGTGCAGGGTTCATGGGTGGCCAGGATCGGGCTCCTGTCCTTGTTGTGGTCCCACCTGCCCTAGCTCTCAAGGGCATCATGTTGGCGTCCTGGTATCTGTTCCCCACCTTAAGCCTGAGCCCATGCCCACAGAGCAGAGCCTCAACTAGTCAGGGTACCAGGAAGACAGAAGCTGAGCCTGAGGTCCAAACTGGGGTGGGAAGGCCTTGGACATTTAACCACATGTGGTACAGACAGGGAACATGAGGCCAGACACTTCCAGAAAAGGCTCAGCTGAGCTGTCCAGTGGTTCTAGATGGGGATGGAACTAAGATCTCACATTTACTAGCCAAGCCCATCACCACTGAGCTCCAGCCCCAACCGTTGCTTATTTATTCTGTGCTTGAGACAAGGCTGCATGTGAGCCAGGCTGCCCTGAATTTACTATGTAGTCAAGGATGCTTGAAATTTATTTTCTTTGAGACAGGGTCTCACTACGTAGCCTTGGCTGGCCTCATACTCAGAGGTGTGCCTGCCTCCACCTCCCGAGTGCTGGCATTAAAGATGTGTGCCACCATAGCCAACTAAACCTTACGTTTCATGAAAAGACTTACTTGTGTATGTGCCCGAGTCTATGTATGTGCACCATATGCATGCCTGGTGCCATGGAGGAAAGAGGTTGGATCCCCTGGAACCAGAGTTGCAGATGGTTTGGAGCTACCACGGGAACTAAATCCAGGTCCTGTCTACGAGCAGCCAGTGCTCTTCAACACTGAACCGTCTCTCCAGCTCCAAGTGCTTAAACATGAAGTGTATGTGTGAATACAGGTGTGTGTGGAGAGGGCAGAGGACCACCTCAGGCTCCAGCAGCCTGTCTGCTGCTGTGTACATTAGGCTAGCTGGCCAATGCATTCCCAGGGATTTCTCGTCTCTGCTTCCCATCCTAGAAGTGTTGGCATTACAGAGGATGCTTCTGTATCGGACTTTTGACCTGGGTTCAGGCCCTCACATTTGCATTTCCCACAGCCCCACCTCACACTTCTGATCCTTTACACCCACCTCCTGAGTGCTGAGATTACAAGTGTGCACCACCATGCTAAACTGGTGACTCCAGGGCTTCATGAATGCAAGGTGAGCACTCTACCAACCGAACCACACCCATTGTCCACAGCATCCACTCGCCCTTCCACATGCATGTTCCCCGTCACCAAAATCCTAGCAGGAGACAGCTCCCTCTTCCCGTTCCCAACCCCAAAGACGGTTCGCTCCACCTGAGATCCTTTGGATACTTTTATTGCTAGAATCTGGTCATAAGTTCTAGGGTGATTCCAGAATACCGCATGGCCAGGATGCTCTGTTATCACTGTGAAAATAATCACGGGGTAGACAAAGATCACGGTCACAAATGACAAGGGATGCCACTCATTCTCAGAGTTGGGAATGCTGCCGGCTTACCAGCTTTCCGAACAAGGTCCACCAAGGAGGAACCTCGGCTGCTGGTGACGGATACACTGAGGACATTGCTCTACTGTGTGCAGGACACGGATGAGACACACCTGGCCACCGGGCAGATGTGATAAACCCGACCCAGGGCCACCTTCTAAGTCCAAAAAATCATGGTGTCAGGGGTGGGGTCCTGGAATGTTCTCTTCACCGAGTGGGAACTTAAAAACAGCTTTCCTAAAGTGCTCTGATACATCTCAGTACAAAAAAAGCACGAAACACTGATTAGCAACATGGCACGGATGAGGTCTGGTGGATGGATATACACTCTGGACACCACAGAGACGACAAGGGGCCCCCACACCACTCCTGGCTCTCTGAAGTCACTAGACACCACACTTTCAGGGTCACGACACCTCCGGTCACCTCCTGAGCCTATGGGTGCCCAGCCCTGGAAACAAGACCAGACCAGATCAGCCACTGACCAGACTCCTACCTTTCTGGCAGGACACGGAAAAGACCAGGGAAAACCTGCTCATTTCACAGGGATCAAACACTGTCTGTCTGGGATATGTGCTGCCCTGCTGAACCCAGGGTTCTGTGTCTCGGGCAGATGGGAGGACATGGTAGGTGCCCCTCCAGATTGATTTCTGAACCCAAAGACTCAGTCCATTGCTCCATGGGCTGCCCAGTTCATTTACTGGTCAAGGCTCTCTGTGGCCAGCATCAATTGCTGCTTTGGAGGAGGCGATTCACTGGACTCTGGATGATTCTAGTGCCTTCTGGTGCCTAATGACTCAGCTCAACCCAGAGATTTCTGGGGGTTATGGAACCTGCCCCTGGAGCCAGGGTCTTCTCAGACCCACCTGTGTTTGTCTCCTGGCTCCCCAGCTTGTGCTGTCTACCTCTGGGTTAAAACAGCTCTGTGGTTTAGCTGGAGTTCGACCTTCAATTTAAAAGAACTTTGTTTACATGTACATATATAAAAAGTGGAAGAGGCTACCCAGACTTTACCACTAATTCTACAGAGAGCTGTGAGACCCAAGACACCAACAGGGCAACCTCAGGTGAGCAAGTGCCTGGGTGTGCTCAGGCAGGGGAAGGGGACGGCCAGACAGTAACAGTCACCCGTGGGATCCCCAGAGACATAAAGGGTTATCAGGACAGAAAGGGGTCTGCTTTGGGGCAGTGGTCCCCTCAGAAGAAGATGACATCTTCCTTGCCAACTTCGTCCTTGGCTGTGAGTGGTGTGGTTGGCAGTGAGGGGCCTGGGGATGCAGGTGGCAGGGACGTGCTTCCGGACTTGAAGAAGGCCTCAGGGGGCGTGGTAGCTGGGGCTGGACTTGGGGCTGGAAAGCAGGGGTCTGGAAGAGAGATGGGGCGCACTGGTGTCATAAGCTGCCACAATCAGTGGGTGGCCTCAATGCCCAGTGGCCAGGCTCACCTGGGGCAGGTGCAGATCCATGGGTGGCAGGCAGGATGGGACTCAGTGACCGGCGGTTTCGTGACGAATTCTCATCCTTGCTTATGAACTTGTTGAGAAGCAGCTGCTGCTTCAGGTCGAAGGATGCTGGAAGAGGGAAGGTGCTTGAGCTGGACTCGGCCATCTGGGTGGGAAGTAGGCCTCCCCTACCTGGTACTTCCCCATGGGCAGCCAAATAAGCACTTGAAAGGTGGCACAGAGTCACACAACGTTGGGATGGGAGAAGGGTGTGGCTTCCAAGCAAACATCCTTTTCCCATAATCATTAGGACATGGACTCCCATCCCACAATACACTCTGTGTCACCAGGGGATGGGGAATCTCTATGCGGAGGGGACAAAGACCCTGGGTACAGTCGCTAGTGCCTGTCCTGTGCCCCAGCTGTGAGCTTCTAAGTAAAAGGGCATGATAATTAATTATGTCAACAACACAACCTGGGACAAAGGTCTCAGTGAAGGACTGTATACGTCAGGGTGACCGGTGGCATGTCTGTGGAGGATTGTCTTGTTTGCCTTAATCAGCATGAATGACCCAGCCCGAAAGTGGGCTCCACCATTCCTTAGACTTGGGCCCTGATCTGGATGAGAATGAGAAAGCTGGCTGGGCACTAGTCAAACCGCATTTATTTCCCCATGCTCTTGACTGTGGACGTGAGCCGCTGTCTCACGCTCTTGCCGCCTTGAGTCCTCACAACGATGGGCCGAAACCTGGACTGTGAGCTAAAACAAACCATTTCTCTAAGTTGCCTTTTGTCGGGGTGTTTTGTCACAGCACCGAAATGCAATTGGGCAATGGACAGCCGCTTCTTTGCCATGCTGCTTGCCCACGCTGGAGCTGGGCTGGCTGGCTCCCTGTCTGAGGTCTGTCGTTTCCATTCTGCTGCTTCTCTGGGTGCTCCAGGGTCCCTGAGCTCGGGTGTGTGTGTGTGTGTGTGTGTGTGTGCGCCACTCACCTGAGCTCTCCCAGCGCTGGGAACCCCTGCTCTTGCTGCTCTTGTCTTTGCTGCCCTTGGTGGAGGCGGCCAGCTTGGTGGGGATCTGCTGCTGCACGGCTGTCTGCCTCTGAATCTGGTTGGTGGCACTGAGCAGCTGGATGGGCACATCGCTCTTGGCTGGCCGGCTCTCTGCAGGGACACTGTCCCAGCGGGCCACCTCAGGTCGCTCTATGTACTCAGGCCCCGTGCCAGGCAGCAGCATGCTCCCTTGGGTCCCTGGTGCTTTGGCTAGGACCAAGCGCCCCTCGGGTCCATCCCCATTGAAACTGGGAGGGTGGCTTGTGGGCTGCACCTGAGTAACAGAAGACACAGCACATCACTGCCGAGCCTGCTGGTGGCTGTTAACCCAACAGAAGGCTTCCCAGCCCTTCGGCGTCTCTGGCCTGGGGCGGGGGCATGGGGGACGGGAACCAAACCCAGCTGGTAAGTGCTCGGAGATGAATGGGTGTTGCCCCCCCAGCTCTGGGTCCAGTTCACCGCTGGGAAGGTGCAGTCTGCATTCTGTGAGCACTGCTTGAGTCTAAAGTGCTTCTGGTGATTTATAACTCATCAAACACACCAGTCTGTGTACATCCACTGTCACATTGAGCCATATACATGCCTCACACACAAATATGGCCACACAATTTATGTCTGGATTACTCACAGAAACTTTAATTTAGAGACAGGGTCTCTCTATGTAGCCCTGGCTATCCTAGAACTCTACGTAGACCAGGTGACCAGGTTGGCCTGGAACTCATAGAGATACACCTGCCTCCTGAGTGCTGGGGTTAAAGGCATGTGCTTCTTTTAACAGTGGCCTTGTACTTGCTGTGTAGCCAAGGATGATCTAATCCTCCTGCCTCCACCCCTTGAATGCTAGGACGACAGGCCTGTGCCACTACACTTTTTCTTTTTTTTCAAAACAAGGTTTCCCTGTGTAGCTCTGGCTGGCCTCGAACTCAGAGATCCTCTTGCCTCTGCCTCCCCAGTGCTGGGATTAAAGGTGTGTGCCACCACCATCCAGCTTTTTTTTTTTTAAATGTACTGCTGGGGTTGGAACCAGGGGCTTTGTGCACGCTAGACAAGCACTAAACCAAGCCCCATTTCCGGCTCAGCAGGTTGGCCACACAGGCCGGCTCACCTCGGCCAGCACCTCTGGGGGCAGTGCCCCCGGTGCAGTGTTCTGTTTCTTGAATCTGCGCAGCAGCTCCAGGCGCTCACGTTCACGGTCCACTGCACGCTGGGCCTCGCGCAGACGCTCCAGGTCATGTTGGTAGGCCTGGCGCTGCCGCTCCAGCTCCGTACGCTCCTCGTCCAGCCGCTGGCGCAGCTGGCGCGCCTCGCCCTCTCGCTCCTGCAGGCGCGCGCCTGCCAGCTCCAGTTCCTGCTGCTGGCGTGCCCGTTCCCGCTCCCAGCGCTGCTGCTCCTGGCGCAGCTGGCTCTGCAGCTTTTCCACGCCCGCCCGCTCCTCACGCTGCTTCTCGAAGTTGCGCTGCCGCTCTTGCTCGAGGAGCAGGTTCCCACGTGTTGATTGCAGCCGGAACTGCTTCTCGCGCTCCTGGATGGCCACTCGCTGCATCTCCACATAGCTGTCCTGTTGGGCGATGACTGCCTGGGAACAGGGAGAAGGGTGGGGCTGATGAATATCATGCCCTTGGCTAGACCCAGCCAACCAGCAAGAGGCGGCAGCAGCCAGTCCCCTCCCTGATGCTGCAGGTACCTGGAGACTAAGAAGCAGCTGCGACAGTGTCTGGACCCGGTGGACCAGCTGCAGAGAGAAAGTCAAATTGGTCTACCTGATGACAGTACACGGGGCATGTGGGCATGCCGTCCCTGGGGGAGATGGATCAGGGGCGGTACCTCTGACTCCAGGACAGTGGGCAGACATGAGCTACTCTCTGTGCTAGGCATCTCCACCTGTGAAGAAGAGGATGATAGTATCAAATGGGACTGACCTAAACCACCACAGCTCACTGTGAGAGGAGACATGCTCTTGGCATGGGAAAAAGAAAGGACGCAGGGCTGGGCTGTGATTGTGGAGGTACAAGTCCTATGGCCATCTAATGTACGCCAATCCGGGAGTCTGGAAAATGAAGGTGTGGGGAAGTCTGGGAGGTGGGTGGGTGACCGATGTCCAGCTCTGGAGTAGGGTGGGCTTGGAAGTGAAGCTTATGTGGCTATGCCAGACATAGGGTCCAGCTGTATGCTAGAGGCAGGTGGCCTTAGCCTCTGGAGACCTCAGCAACAATGGGCAGGTGCTGGGTGTGCAGAGTCGAAGGGGAAGAGCCAGTGAAAGCCAGGAGTGTGGGCAGCTGTTACGACACTCTGGATAGCCTGTGGTACCAATGTGGGGTTCAAGGCCACTCTGTTGTGCCCATTCTCTCCTCTGCCTCCCTCCCAAGTCACTGCCTGCCATTACAGGGGTCTGCAAGATTAATTTTGAAGGCTGTCATGTTAGTGGCGGTTATGTTGACTTGGACTATCAGTTACCAGAAGTCACTTACCGCTTGTGGCGATTCCTCACAGCCACTGGGGGTGTTGCCGTCACAGGATTTGGAATCTGAGCTGCTAGCAGGCCCCTGCAAGTCTTGGGGCCTGAGGTCATTGTTGCACATTTTCTTTTTAAAGCTGCCACCTAGAGACCCCAAATTGATCACAAGAGGATGCTATAAACCCCACAGGGTCTGGGATCCTCTCCCCTCCTCTTCGCCCAGACCCTACCATGTAATGAATACAGGGTAGGGTGCTCCTGGAGGCCTGCTGCAGAGCCCTGGTGTTGTAGTACAGAGCCCACAACACCCAGAGCGCTGAGGACTGTTTTCAGGAGTTACACCCCTAATGCTGGAGAAGTAGCTCGGCTGTTAAAGGCCCAGGCTCACAACCAAAAACTCAAGAAATCACACCGTAGAGGACACTGACACTCAGGAGCTTCCCGAGGCATAGCCTTGGAGGCAGGTGGTGACATACTTACTCTTGCTGGGGCTGCCCACACTGTCATAGCCCCCGAAGGTCTCAGCCCTCCGAGGTAGGCCTGCAGACACACCTCCCTCTTCCACTTGGCCACTGGTGCTGCCCAGCCGCCGGCAGATCAGGCTCTGGATGCCCTCAACTGTGAGGAAGAGGTGGGGGACATGAGTTGACAGGCGGTGGGGGTTATGCCAGGGGCTGCAGGGAACCCAGACCTGAGTCAGGACAAGCATGGCAGCGAGTGCTGGGATGACAGGTATACACTATTACCTTGGCTTTGACAGTCCTGGGGATAGAACCCAGTTCTAGGCAAGCACTCTAACAATGGTGCCCCATCCTGAGCCATCATCCTCGGGGGCAGCCATTGGGTTTGAAAATAACCCATCTTGGAGGCAGGCTCCATAAGATTCAGGAAGTTCTGAAGGGAGGTATGTTAAGACTCAGGAAGTCAACAATGCACAAATCTCAGGAAGTCCCTGAAACTTACCAGAAGTTATATATACAGAAAGGACTGCGAGGGAAAAGAGACTCTCCAACCTGTTCAGCCAACTTCGCCTGCAAGTCGTGAAGAGAGCTCCCGGGTCCCAGTTTTCATGAACTGTCACCTAGGCTGGGGTGGCTTTCAGTGCAGCAGCTGCCTTTAAGTTGTAAGTAATCCCTCACAATCCCTCACCCCTGCTCGTAAGTGACCCCACAAACTCACTGGCTCACCAAGTTGGACTGGTGTCATTGTTACTTTGCTCTGTCATCAGTTCCCTATCTGGGGTGAAGATGTGTGTGTTCATGTCTCCTCAAAAAAGTAAAAGTGTGACTTTTCTCTCCAGCTCGTCAGGGTGCCTGCTGCAATCCAGGCCCCAAGCCAGACCTAGGGATGTGATGTACCAGTCCCTACCTAGGTCCAGAAGCAGACACAATGTTAGATGAGAGCTGGACAGGAGGGCTGCCCACGGGGGTAAGGGTAGTCTACAAACCCTTCAATGACCCTCTGCCATTCAAAGTCTCTAGCCAGGTCAAGAGGCGGGGAGAACATTCCCAACCCATGTTGTGAGTGTCACTGGAGGCTGAGAACAATGGCCGGCCTCAGAAGGCAGAGGTGGATGGGTAGTGCAGATGCGGCTGGAGGGAGCAAAACACCCATTGGGTCTTTGCTAAGCTGTGCAGGCAAGGGGTTGAGTGGTCTGACTTGCTGATGGAAGAGAGCCACTACACACTGGCTGCCCACCCTGCTGGACAGCATGGGGTCCTGGTGGCTGCAATGGTGCTGTTAGGAGCTCCTGTATCACTGGTTAAATCCTGTGTTCCCCTTACTGGGTCTAACCTTGAGACTGGAAGAGGGGTCTCTGCATGGTCTGGATAGAATGTGTGTGGAGACAGTGGGTTATATGTACCCAGTGGTTTACACCATGGCTGTTAATGCCTGGCAGCCTGCTAGAGCTAGAGGTGGGGTTCTGGCCCAAGTTTGGGGTGCGTTTCTGGACTCCAGAAGTCCCTCAAAGTGGCTCAAAGAGTATATGAATTTTCCTGAGGATATTACTGGGGGCCATCCCAGGAAAGGAGGATCTGTATCAGGTAACTTTATTATGAAAATTTAGATTATATTTTTACTTATTTATTATGTGCACACATATGACACAACACACATGCCAACTTGATGAGTTGTCCTTCTATCACGTGGATCTCTAGGATTGAACTCAGGCTGTCTACATGGAGGTTAGCACCCTTACCTGCTGGCCATTTCTTAGGCCAAGCTTTATGTTTTCCCCCTAAAGACAAGTCTTTCAAACTCATTATGGAGCTAAGGATGACCTTGAACTTTTGGTCCCCCTGCCTCAGTCTCCCAAGTGCTGGGATGCCAGGGCTTCACATACACTGCGCAAGGACTCTACCAACAGAGCCACAGCCCTAACCCTGAGTCAACTTGAGACCTCTGGGGTTGACCAGGTCACCCAGGGAGTGTTTGTTGACTGGCAGAGAAAGTGCTTAAAGGAGTTAGTTAGGCGTAGCTTAATTGTAGCGCTCTCGCACATGCCGGGTTCCCTGGATCACAGAAAAGCAACATGACCGTGGTCCTGGGTAAGGTCTGCCACGTGGAGTCCTGGGCCTGGTTTTGGTCCCCTGTGCAGCCCACCCTACAATATCATAACATACCACAGGGGATGGCTGACTTACTCTCGCTCATGGCTGATCTGAGAATCTGCTCCCCGCGTAGGGTCTCAGAGGGGTCCCCGCCTCCTCGGAAGAGGCCTCGGCACTGGGGTGACTCGTCCAGCCCGCTCAGCTCAGCCATCTCCAGGTAGATCTGCTGCTTCTCCAGGAGGCTCTGGGCGATCAGCTGGTCTTTCAGGCTCAGTCGCTCTATAGAGGACCCAGAGGTGGCAGTCAGCCCGAGACCTGCCCTTGGAGCCAGGCTCAAAGGTGCACCCCTATCCTCCCTTCAACATATGAGCTTCATAGTGTGGTCCTGTCCTCTGACCCCTCCTCTCATCCCCGCCGTGAACACCAAAATGGCCACTAAGTGCAGACAGGCAGGAGACAGAGAGCCTTGAAGGATAATATATTTTTTTTTTAATTAAAAAATTTCATTACATCTATTTATTTGTGTATATGTGTGGGCAAACGTGTGGAGGTCAGAGGACAACTTACAGGAGTTGATTCTCTTCATTCTGTGGAATCTGGGCTTGAGCTTGGGTCATTATGCTTGGCAGCCAAGTGTCTACCCACTAAACCATCCTGCCAGTCCAGGTTTTTTTTTTAAAGATTTATTTGCTGGACATGGTGGTGCATGCCTTTAATCCCAGAACTTGGGAGGCAGAGTCAGGAGGATATCTGATCTACATAGTGAGTTCCAGGACAGCCAGGACTAGAGAGAGAAAGACCCTGTCTCAAAAAAACCCCCCACATTTATTTGTGTATATGAGTGTATATGAATGTATTTGGGTGTGACATCTGTGTGCATGCATGGAGGCCGGAAGATGACATCAGGTGTCCTTCTCTATCACTCTGCCCATTCATCTGAGGCAGAATCTCTCCTTAAAACTGGGGCTCTGTTTCTCAGCTATGCTGTAAGCCAGCAAATCCTGGCAATCCTCCTGTCTCTGCACTTCTCAGACCTGGGGTTACAGGTGTGCACAGGACATCTGGATGGTTATTGGGGGCTGGGTCTGAACTCTGGCCCACACGGTGGTGCAGCAAGTGTTCGTAACTGCTGGACCATCTTTCCAGGCCCTGGTTTGTTTTGTTTGTTTACTTTTTGAGACAGGATTTTACTCTTCCCCAGGCTGCAGATCCCCCTGCCTTGGCCTCCCAAGTACACGGATTATAGGTGTAAGCTACAGCTAGCTTAAAAACTTAAAAAAAAAAATTTAATTCTTAAATTTCTGTGAGAAAACTGAGGTTGTTTTAAACACTTATTTCCTTATTGGTGTGTCACATGGCAAGCGTGCCGTGCACGGGAGGTCAGGCGACAGCTTGCACTTGGTCCTCTTTCTAACGTCAGCTCCAGGGACTGAAATGGGCTTGTCGGGCTTGGTGGCCAGCTATCGCTACCTGCTGAGCCATCCTGTCAGCCTAGAAAATAGGGTTGTCATCAACTAATTCATTCTTGCTTTTGAGACGCCGTCTTGCTGTATATTCTTAGTTCACCTGGTAAGAGCTGTACGAAGCAGGCTGGCCTTGAATTCCCATCAATCCTCTCACCTCAGCCTCGAAGTTTATAAGTCTTGGGGCTAGTGAGATGGCTCAGTGTTTAAGAACGTTTGTGGTTCTTGCAGAGGCCCCAGATTTGATTCCTAGCATCCACAGGGTGGCTCACAACTGCCTGTAACTCCCTCTTCTGGCCTCTGCATGCATTTGCGTGCATGTAGTGCACAGACATACATGCAAAATGCCCACTGCCCATATATGTAAAACTAAAAACAACTAAAAACCCTGTTTTTTTGAGACTGGGTTTCTCTGTGTAGCCCTGGCTATCCCAGAACTCACTTTGTTGACCAGGCTGGCCTTGAACTCAGAAATCCCACTGCCTTTGCCTCCTGAGTGTGCCACCATGCCCAGCTCCATTTACTTATTTTTATTGTAATGCTTTATTTTTAATCATTCATTCATTCATTCATTCATTCATTCATTCATTCATTCATCTATTATTTATTCCCTGGCCCTGAATTGAACTCTTGAAAGAGGTGATAGTGTGCATTCAACCCCGATGAAGTGGCATAAACTTGACGTGGGTCCACGGGTTACAAGAGGGACCTGCCCACAATGCTGACCCCTCCTACCTTGAAAGTCCCGGAGTCTCATGGTGCGGGCTTCAGTCATCTTCCTCTCCTCAGTCTCGCTGAAAGGGCCCTCCTCCTCATCAGGACAGCTGCAGGGAAAGGGGACAGCTACCATCAGTGTCTCGTGGGCTAGCTGTCCTGACGTCAGCACAGGCTGGTGAGATGGCTGGGGGAATAATGGAGCCCCAGATCTACAAGAGACCCTGTCTCAGCAGACTAGGCCGAGTGACAGAGGACATCCGACACCCTCTTGTGGCTTCAGTGCCTGAGTTCAGTCCCCAGGACTCATATAATAGGAGAACTGACCCCAAGGCGTCCTCTGACCTTCACACGACGCCACGGCTCCCATTCTCTCCAATAAAGAAACGTAATTATGAAAGGATTACTGAGCCAGGGCCTGTGTTAGCTGTGAAAGGCTCTTCCACCGACCTACATCCCCTCCCGCACCACTGAGTTTTGTTGTTGTTTATTTTTCATGACAAGGTTTCTCTGTATAGCCCTGGCTGTCCTGGAACTCCCTCTGTAGACCAGGCTAGCCTAGAACTCAGAGATCCACCTGCTTCTGTCTCCTGAGTGCTGGTACTAAAGGTGTGTACCATCACTGCTGTTTGTTTTTTAAACAAACAAACAAAAAACAACCAACAAGGCATCATGCATCCCAGGCTAGACCTGAATGTACTCTGGCCAAGGATGACCTTGAATTTCTGATCCTCCTGCCTCTACTACATCAAGTGCTGGGATTACAAGCATGCACCATCCCAACCAGTTTATATGGTGCTGGGGTTACAGGCATGCACCATCCCAACCAGTTTATATGGTGCTGGGGTTACAGGCATGCACCATCCCAACCAGTTTATATGGTGCTGGGGTTACAGGCATGCACCATCACAACCAGTTTATATGGTGCTGGGGTTACAGGCATGCACCATCCCAATTAGTTTATATGGTGCTGGGGTTACAGGCATGCACCATCCCAACCAGTTTATATGGTGCTGGGGTTACAGGCATGCACCATCCCAACCAGTTTATATGGTGCTGGGGTTACAGGCATGCACTTATCACAAGCTGGGCTCACCTCTCCACGGCTCGGCGGATGTGGGCCATCCAGGTGTTCCTGTCTTCTTTGGAACTGGTATAGATCTCATACATCTCTGGCCCTTGCTTGGAGGCACTGATCAGAAACATGGCCTTCTCCTCGTTGGCCACCTCTCTCACAATGAGCTTTTGCAGAGAGATGACGGGTGGCTTTGAGTCCTGCATGGGGGCAGGCGACGGAAACTTAACTGTTGTCCTGCTATGTCCAAACAACCGTGGACCCTGCCCCCACTCCCAGGGTATGTATGCATTCGTGTGGAAGGCAGATGGTCATCTCGGCTGTTGTTCCTCAGGTTCACCAAGCAGGCTAGGCAGGTGGCCAGTGAGCCTCAGGGGCCTGCCTCCCCAGCGCGGGATACAAGTGTGTGCCACCACACCCTACTTTGTCATGTGGGTTCTGGGGAGTGAATTGCCATGCCAGCACAAAGCAGAAACGGTTTACTAATTGGAGACTATTTAACTGATATCTTAGTATTCTTTTTAATGCTTTAGGGGGCCTTGACTCACTGTGAAACCCTGCTGGCCTCAGTTTACAGCGATCCTACCTTAGCTTCCCAAGAATTGGGATTTCAGGTATACACCACCATGCCCAGCAAAGGGCATATCTCTTCTTTGTTATTAATATTTTAACATTTTGTGTGTGTGTGTGTGTGTGTGTGAGAGAGAGAGAGAGAGAGAGAGAGAGAGAGAGAGAGAGAGAGAGAGAGAGAGAGCGCGAGCGAGCACATGCCCGTGTGTGCACATGCATGCATGGTGTATCTGTGGAGATCAGAGGACAACTTGTGGGAGTTGGTTCTCTCTTTCTACCATGTGGGTTCTGGGTATTGAACTCGGGTCATCAAGCATCTTTACCAATGGAGCCACCTGCTGGCCCGAAAAGGCCCATCTCAAGTAGTGTTGTGAGTTAAATTGTCCAGACCCTCTTATAATTCATATACTGAGGTTCTAAGCCCAAGTAGGGTGTGTGTAGAGTGATGGTGTGTAGAGACAGGGCCTTTAAAGATATAATCATGTTAAACAAGATTTGTCTTTCTAGTGGTCCAACCCAATATAATTGGTATCCTTATAGGATTGTAAGACTGGGTGAGGTGGGGAGTCCCAGGCCTATCACCCTAACACTTGAGACTTGGAGGTAGGAAGTTCAGAAGTTCAAGGCTGGCCTCAGCTAAACAGTGAGTTCCAGGCCAACCTGGGCGATATGAGGCCCTGAATTTACAAACCCTGAGATGACAAGTGTGTGCGATTAAGCCCAGCTTGGAAGATTTTTCTTTTTGAGTGTGCGCTTTTCTGCGTGAGAACTCCTGAGCGTGTTAACATTGGGTGACTGTGGTTGCCTCGCCCCTGCATTTCTGCATTTATGTCTCGCCTGTGACACAGGATCTGGGATGCACAGTGATCCATCTGGAGAATTCATAAAGGGGGAAGGAGGACAAGAATGATGGTTTCTGCGTGTTTCCTAAAAGCTTTGGGTGCAACTGGTTCAAGTCCATCAATGCCCCCAAGTCTCCTGATAGTGGGGTGGGGCACACAGCCATCACAGTGACATCTACGTCTTGTGAGACAGAGGGGTGCTGGGCCAAAGGGGGACAGCTGTTGTGACAAAACAGTCTGACCCAGTTTACAGGAAGATGGGACAGGGTGACAAGGGACGGGGAATTCCTGAGGTGCTGTTAGACCCACAGACCCTTCCACCTCTAGGGCTCCCTCTCTGCCTCTGGCCGTGGCCGCATCTCCATCCCTGCAGATCCTGCTGTCCTTCACTCTGATTACAGGACAATCTGCATCAGGAGGGCTCAGGATCCTCTTCCATTTTCACATCGGTCCTGAGCTAACACTTGGCACTGAAAACACAGGTGTTTTGGGGTCCTACACCACATTCCTTCCCTCTGGGCCACCTTTCCTCACTCCCCTTACCCATCTCTCTCATTTTTCTGATGCCCACCCCCTGGAGAGCATGGTCACTCGACAGGCTTACTCAGGGACTGAGCAGCTGACAGTCATGATGTGGAACCTATGGGTCTTGCGTCCTTTGTCTTTGTCTATGTAAATGGTGAAAATCCCAATTGGGGGTTTTATTAGTGTGCCATGTAAACTCAGTTTAGATCCCTTCCTTCTGCTCCCTGCCCCCATCCCCTTCTCCACAGACCTCCAGAGAAGAGGCCTCTTGCCATTTGCTAGACCAGTATGTTCAACATCCATACACCAGGGTAAGGTTCTTTTGGCCAGACCCCGGGGCCCGTGAGTACCCAGGGATGTTGGGCAGCTAGGAAGACTGAGGATTTTTGGATAATGAGCGAGGAGCTAATCAGGCAGCAGCCCTTCTCTCTTCCCCAAGTCTCATCGCTATAGGCCAGCACTCCTGTATAGAGAATGTGTGTGTGAATCTGTAACGGCTCCTTGGGCACTCCGGGAAGGAAGTGCTTATCCCTGGACCAGACACTGCTCAAGTTAGGCCTGCCTGCAGCCCTCTCCATCTCCATCCTCAGAGCAGATTCTGGCATTCCAGCTGTTACGGGAAGAGACAGGCACCTGTCTCTGAGTCAGTAAAGACTCCCTGGGTGCCACTCCAGGAAAATGACAGATGCCATTCTCATTTCCCCAATTAGGTTCTCATGCCTCAAGTAGATGCGCCTCTCCTCACTCCTCTCACCTTCTCGGAGTAGCGTATTCCTACCCCGGAATTCTGTCTCTTCTCTCTGCCACCCAGAGATCAGAGACACCTTCTGTGAACCTGTTTCTCTCCTCTCATACCTACAAAGAATGGTCCCCATTCTGCCTTGTGAGCTGTAACTGTTTAGAGCCCTTCCATGCTGCCATCTGCTTATGGCATTACTAATTTTTTAATAAACTTCTCACCCAAGGACAACTGACCTCAGTGTCCCCCTGAGGCCCTCCCACCTTTCAATGAGAGCCACACCAGGGAACAAGACAGGTTCTCATTCTCTCCTCATTCTATCCCGTCTGGAAGGACGTGAGACGGGGTGACTCTCAGTATATTTTCCTATCTGTGTTTCCTCCCCATGTCTTGTCTTGGACATCCCCCTCCATGGGCCCACCACCACATGGTCCCAGCAAGCAGGACCCGTGAAGACGTTAGACACATACCACAGAAGCAAAGACGTACTTCTGATCCTTTTCTTGCAGCAGCAAAAGCACGTCAGTCAACAGGACAGCGAGGACATCTGCAGAGACCAGCACATAGGGGAGTGTCTCAGAGGTCACATGCACAGAAGGGCTCACGAGGGCTTAAGCACCACGATGCCTCAGCCTCTTTTTTTTAAAAAAAAGATTTATTTGTTTTTATGTGCATTGGTGTTTTGCCTGCATGTATGTCTGTGTGAGGGTGTCAAGTCCCCTGAACTGGAGTTACAGACAGTTGTGAGCTGCCATGTGGGTGCTAGGAATTGAACCTGGATCCTCCAGAAGAGCAGCCAGTGCTCTTAACCCCTGAGCCATCTCTCCAGCCCCTGCTTCAGCCTCTCGTTCCTAGAAGTTCCCATTCTAACTCACCCCTTTCCACAAAGTCCCTGAGTTTTGAGATTCAGTGTCAATGAATGCCAGAGGCACTCCCACTCAGAATGTCAGAACTCAAGCTAGAGCTCCCACGTGCCATTCAGTTCTTTCAGTACTCTTTTTTTCTTTTTGGTTTCTCTGTGTAGCCCTGGCTGTCCTGGAACTCACTCTGTAGACCAGACTGGCTTTGACCTCAGAGATCCGCCTGCCTCTGCCTTAAAGGTGTGTACCACCACTGCCTGGCTTAAGGATTTATTTTTAAATATGTGTGTGCGTGTGCGTGCGCGCGTGTCTCTGTGTGGTTTTGTGCATGTGTGTGCAAGTGCTCTCAGTGCCTAGAGGTGCCGGATCCTTCCCTGGAGCTGGAGTCACAGGCAGTTGTAAGCTGCCCAGCGTGAGTTCTGGGAACCGAATTAAAGTCCTTTTTAAGAGCCGCAGGTATGCTTAAAGGTTGTGCCATCTCTCCAGCCCCTCATTTATATCATTACTATTTTGTGTATAAGGGTACATGTGTGATGTGTATATATGTTCATGCATGTGCGCTCACATTTGTGTGGTTATACCTGTGCATGTGTATATATGTCCACGTGTGTGTGCACAAATTTGTGTGGTTGGGCCTGTGCATGCACTAGGGTGTCTTCCTTGATCACTCCCTGATTTTTTTTTTTTTTTTTTTTTGATGTGTGTGTATGGCATGCAGGGGAAATGGGCAGGAAAAGAAGGTGTGTGCATGCCCTGGTGTGTATGTGGAGGTTGGAGGACAAGTTGTGCAAGCTGGTTCTACTCTTCCACCACATGTGGGTCGCAGGCACCTAACTCAGGTTTTAGGCTTGGCAACGCACACCGGCGCCCGGTGAGCCATCTTGCCAGCCCTCTTCCTGATTTTTCAGACGGGGTTTCTAAGCTCGGGTTACGGGCATGTATCACCATGCCTGGCTGGGGAGAACTCAGGCAAGCACCTCACCCACTGAGCCGTCCTTCCAGCCTCTGGGTGGTTTCGAAATGGACTTCTCCTTCTGTTCAGGTCATATCTTGTCTCCTGATGCAAGGATGCAGGCAGGGCTGGCCTCAGCACCCTTGAGTCCCAGTCCCGCCTGGTGCCTTACCCCATAGGACTGTGTGAACATCTCTCACAGTGAGACCTTTGCACACGAGTGTCATGGGGGCACAGAGACTAATGCTTGAGGGAGCCTCTTCCTTTTCTTTTTTTGAAGCAGGGTTTCATGCATCCTACTCTGGCCTCCAACGTGCTCTGTAGCTGAGGATGACCCCTAATCCCCAAGCCTTCTGCTTCCCTACAGCTGACTGTCACTGCAGTCAAGTTGACCTGGTGCTGTGGATGGAAACCAGGACGTCGTGCACGTTAGGCAAGCACTTAACAACGGACCTACGTCCCCATCCCTGGAAGAGCCATTTCTGATGCTCGTCTACATTAAACACTTCCTCCAGCCAGTTCTCTGTAGTCCACTGGTTCCTTTCAACACGAAAACATTCAAGTGTCACAAGTTTGGTCTTGTTCCCATCACTCAGGTGGTGCCAATTCAAAATGGAATTCAATAGAAGACAGAGCCCACCACACCAAGATGGTGCCCACCACTCTAACACCACAACCAGAACTCCTAGGCTGTAAATGTGGAGCCAACAGGAAACCCGCCAGAGATGGCCAGGGGCAGACATTACCTTTCAAGCGCCCTGACGTGGACTTCCAGCACAAGGTGCCTTCCAGCTGGAGCTGGCGCTGCAGCATGTCCTCCTTGCGGAAGGTGAGCCCATTCTTGAGTTTGCTGGACGACTTCAAGTCCACCTTGCCCGCGATCTCCCGGAGGCGCTGGCCCTTCTCGTACTCACTGACTTTGGCGTCCACTTGTGAGATGATGTCTTTGATGAGGTTCAGGGCCTGGCTCAGGTCTTTGTAGTCCTCAGTGCCGGCTGCCACACAGAAGCAGAGGCAGCACTGTGTCTGTGCCCATGCTCACAAACACAGCAGAAGTGGATGTGCTGCATCTGGATGGGACCTGTGCGGTGCATTCCCTAGGGCCTTTTCAGAACTCTCTGCCAACTGTAATTTCTGAGATGAAAATGGTTCTCCAGAATTAATAATAGCCCAGAGTTTAATGAACTCAGTTTGTTTCTATTTGCAGTATTTTTTGAGACAGGATCTCATGTAGCCCAGGTTGGTCTCAAACTTCCTAGAGAATGACCTTGAACTCCTGATGCTCCTGCCACCTACCTCCCAGGTGCTAGGATTACAGGCCTGCAATACCACACTTGGGTAGTTTTGTTTTGTTTTTGAGGCAGGGTCCCTCACATGCCCAGGCTGTCCTGGAACTCACAGAGATCTGCCCGCCTCTGCCTCAAGTGCTGGGATTAAAGGAGTGTGCCACTACATCTGGCCTTTGCTTTTTGTTGTTGTTGAAACCCAGTCTTGTTCTGTAGCCCTGGCTAGCCTACAATTCAGTGTGGATCAGACTGGTCTCAAAGTTGCAGAAGATCCTCCTGCCTCCACCTCTTGCCACCATGCTTGGCTTAGAGTTTATCTTTTGCTCAAATGCAGAAGTTAGGATGTGGTGGTTCAAATGACACCAACTACCCAGTACAACATAGCCACCCCTACCATTATTATAGACAGATTCCCCCAAGCCACCCCTACCATTATTATAGACAGATTCCCCCAAGCCACCCCTACCATTATTATAGACAGATTCCCCCAAGCCACCCCTACCATTATTATAGACAGATTCCCCCTAAGTCCTTTAGCTCTTCACTAAATGCCCTCCTTCCACTTCCTGTCTCAATCAACAGAAGGCCCCTACCACCCGAAGGACACAGTAGAGAAACTTGCTATTTTCTCATGGCCTAAACCTACCAGAGATGTGAAGGGGTGGTCATTGTGCCGGCCCCCACCAGCACCTGGCATGCTACATGACCTTTCTACTGTGTTCTCTATGGCTATCAATGTGTCATCCTTTTCTTCTTTCTGTTTTGACTTTTGAATCAGGGTCTCATAATGTAGCCCAGGCTAGTACAGAACATGTAGATCTTCCTGTCTACCTGTTGTGTAGCAGTTTCCTCTGAATTGAAACATTCTATCCTGGAGGGAAGTTGTTAAGACTCAGGAAGTAAATAACTCACAAGTCTCAGGAAGTCCCTAAAACTCACCAGTCTAAGATTATGAAAGCAATAAGGGCTGCTGAGGGAAGGACATGCTCCAATTTGTTTAGTTGCCTGCAGAGAGAACAAGGGTTCCAGCTTGTCTGAGTCCTAACCCATGCTGTGGCGGCTTTTGGTGATGCAGCTGCCTTCAAGCTGCCCCACTCCTGTAAGTAACTGGTTTTTTTTTTTGTTTTTTTTTTGTTTTTTTTTTCCCGAGACAGGGTTTCTCTGTGTAGCTTTACGCCTTTCCTGGAGCTCACTTGGTAGCCCAGGCTGGCCTCGAATTCACAGAGATCTGCCTGGCTCTGCCTCCTGAGTGCTGGGATTAAAGGCGTGCACCACTACTGCCTGGCCTGTAAGTAACTGTTTATCCATGCTCTTTGTAACCTCAATAAAACCATTGGTTCATCAAGTTGTACTTTGATGGTAGGTTACATTGGTCTGTTATCAATTCTGAATCCCTATCTGGGATAGGTAGACATCTGTTAACGTCTCCCCAGGAAAAGTGTTGTACAATGCTAGGCCTCCAAGTGCTTGGAGAACACCTATGCCCACTGCATCCAGCTCAGATCTTGCCCTGGCCATATAACTCAAAGGTCATTTCTTTTTTTATCTAAAAAAATTTTTTTGTTTTGTTTTGTTTTGTTTAGTTTTTGGTTTTTCGAGACAGGGTTTCTCTGTGTAGCTTTGGAGCCTGTCCTGGAACTCGCTCTGTAGACCAGGCTGGCCTTGAACTCACAGAGATCCGCCTGCCTCTGCCTCCCGAGTGCTGGGATTAAAGGCGTGTACCACCACCGCCTGGTTATTTTTAAATTTTATTTAACATGTGTAGGTATTTTGTTGTATGTATGTATAGTGCCTGTGGAGGACAGACGAGGGCATAAGATTCCCCCGAAACTCATGTTATGTATGGTTGTGAGACACCATGTGGGTGCTAGGACTCAAGCCCAGGTCCTCTGGAAGAGCAGCTGGGCTCTCAAATGGCTGGGCCATCTCTCTAGTCCAGAAATCATTTCTTTCTTTTCTTTTTTTTTTTTCTTTTTTTTTTTTTTTGGTTTTTCGAGACAGGGTTTCTCTGTGTAGCTTTGCGCCTTTTCCTGGAACTCACTTGGTAGCCCAGGCTGGCCTCGAACTCACAGAGATCCACCTGGCTCTGCCTCCCGAGTGCTGGGATTAAAGGCGTGCGCCACCACCGCCCGGCTCTTTTCTTTTTTTTTTAATGTATAGAGTGCTCTCTCTGTATGGCCAGAAGAGGGCACCAGATCTCATTACAGATGGTTGTGAGCCACCATGTGGTTGCTGGGAATTAAACTCAGAACCCCTGGAAGAACAGCCAGTGCTCTTAACCGCTGAGCCATCTCTCCAGCCCCAGAAATCATTTCTTAATAACCCAGGAATCATCTTGTTTTCATCTGGTTCATGTCTAGTTTACAGACACTGACCTGGGACTTGCCATGGCCCAGCCTTTGCTAAAGACAAGGGTTCACCCAGCTCCTGTCCTCATGTGCTAACTGCCTGGCACCTGGTATAGTGGATTATAAGAGGGGACTTGGCCAGTCCGTTGACAAACTCCAGAGCAGGTGGCTTGAGACAGCCACCCACCCCGACCCATGAGTGTAGCAGAGTGTGCTCCCACCTTCTGTGTTCTGGATGATGCGCTCCACCAGTACTGGGTACTTGGTTATGCGCTGTGTGACCAGAAGGATACACTCCTGAACTCCCAGCCGCCGCACAATGGAAAAGTTGCCGATTTTCTGTGAAATGGAAAAGAAATAGCTTATTTTAATTTCTCTTTCTGTCTTCTTCCTTCTTTTATTTTTGAGTGTTTTTGAAACAGGGTCTCTCCATGTGACCCTGGCTGTCCTGGAACTCAGAGATAGATCTGCTAGCCTCTGCCTCTCAAGTGCTGAGATTAAAGTCACGTGCCACCACACCTGGCTCTCCTTCCTTCCTTCCCTCCCTCCTTCCTTCACCATCCCCACCCCCGTGTATCTGTGGTTGAACCCAGGGCCTCAGGCATGCTGAACAAATACTCTATCACTAAGCTGTATCTCAAGACAGACAGATAGACACCTGGTTTGGTAATTGTTCCTTTTTGGGGGTCTGTATGTGTTCAAACACCAGGGGAGGGCACCAGGTGTCCTTCACCGAGCCCTTTTTTTTTGAGATCGTGTCTCACTCTGCAGATCAGGCTGGCCTTACCTGTGCTACCACGCCCTGACCCTTTGAGGCAGGGTCTCTCCTTGAACCTGGAGTTTCTGTTTTCTTGTCAAGGCTGGAAGCCAGAAACCCTCAATGATTCTCTTATCTTCCTGCAACCCCAAAATAGAGCTCAGGTAACAGGCATGTGCTGGATGCAAGGCTTGTTACAGGGCCCCAGGGTCCAAACTCCAAACCCCGGGCCGAGCAGCAAGCACTGAGACCTGCTAAGCTGTCTCTCCAGCCGCCCAAGAAGTGGAGGTTACAGAACTGGACGACTAGGTTCAGCTTCCTGCCACATCAGTAAAACGTCTCAGGCCAGGGGCTCCTGCCCTGTCACCTTGCTGTGACCTTTTTCTTTCTTCTGTGAGACCAACACAGGGATTACCTTCTAAATATGGGAAGGCCACAAGTGTGTGGGCACTCAGTAAGCTCTGTTAAAAAGGACCTAAGCCAGGTATGGTGGGGCTTGCCTATAATCCTAACACCGGAGTGGGGTGGGGTGGGGTGGGGGCTGAGGCAGGAGGATCTTGAGTTTGAGGCTAGCCTGGTCTATAAAGTAAAATAAAAATAAGAGTGAAAATATTAAGGTGAGGGTGGTATATACCCATGATCCCAACATCTGGAAGCCCAGAGCAGGAGGATCACAGTTTTGAGTCAGCCTGGGCTACAGAGGAAGTTCTAGACCAGCTTGGGAGATGCAGGTAAGACATTGTCTCAAAGTAAGAAGACAAGGGGCTTGAGACATGGCTTAGTGGTTAAGGGCACTTAACTGTTGTAGAATATTATCTTAAGATGTGTTACATTTGTTTATGCTGTGGAACATTTGTTTAATGATGCAAAGATGTATTGCATTCTTTTATATTTCATTTATTTAACTCTGTGAAGCTGTGCTACTGTGCCTGTCTAAAACACCTGATGGTCTAATAAAGAGCTGCATGGCCAGTAGCAAGGCAGGAGAAAGGACAGGCGGGGCTGGCAGGCAGAGAGAATATATAGAGGGAGAAATCTGGGAGGAAAGATTGAGAAGCAAGAAAAGGAGAAGGAGAAGAGGACATCAGGGGCCACCCACCCAGCTACACAACCTGAAACAGAGTAAGTAAGAAAGAAAAGTGTATAGAATAGAGAAGGGTAAAAGCCCAGAGGCAAAAGATAGACAGGATAGTTTAAGAAAAGCTGGCTAGAAACAAGCCAAGCTAAAGTCGGGCACTCATAAGTAAGAATAAATCTCCATGTGTGTGATTACTTGGGAGCTGGGTGGTGGGCCTCCAAAGAGCAACAGAGTAAACAAACAACTACTACTAACTGTTCTAAAAAAGGTCCCAGGTTCGGGTTCCACTACCCACATGGTGGCTCACAATCACATTTAACTCCAGTTCCAGATCTGATGATTTCTGGCACATATACATACATATAAATATAAAAGTTTAAAAAAGATAGTATAATCTCAGCATGTGGGAGGAGGAGGCAGGATTTCAAAGTCATCCCGGACTACATAATGAGTTCAAGGGTAGATAACCTGGGCTACATTAGAAACTGCTTCAAAACAAACAAAAAAGAAAAACAGAACAAGAAAAGAAACTAACAAGAAAGGAAGAGAGAACCAGTTTGAGGAACACAAATTGGGTTTCCAGTATGTGTTCACATTTGTGCACACACAGACTCTGATCCTCGATCCTGGCTGACAGCAAGTGTCCCAGAACCCTCCAGAACTAGACTGGGTATCCGCCTTTGTTCCAAATCTGGCTCTTTAGTCACTTGTGATTTACACATGTATCTTTTAACTAAGAACCAAGTGGCCACTTGATGCTGTTTCCTGGTGGGGCTGAGAGCAGCTCCCTGCACTCTGCCAAGCATGCTGCTCATGCTGGGGGCTGCTGCTCTTGTATGAGTTGGGAATGTGTCCGCAAAGATGAACAGCTACTTTATTTTTTTTTCTTAAGGTAGGGTCGTATGTAGCCCAGGCTAGTCTTGCACTCTCTATGTAGCTTAGGATGACCTTGAACCTCTAATCCTCCTGCTTCTGCTTTCCTAGTGCTGGATGACAGGCATCCTATGCACCCAACACACTTGGTATGTGGTGCTGGGATGGAACCCAGGGCTTTTGTGTGTGGTAAGCAAACACTCTACTAACTGAGCTACATTCTCAGGCCTAACCCAAGAAGCTATTTCTTAAGAGCACCAGAGTGTCCCTGAGGAGCTTTTGAAGAGCCCTTGTGTACAGGTTTCATTAGATCTCCCCTATTACTGCCTCTGCCCTCACTATTCTTTCCTCCTCTTTTCTTTCTCCCCCTCTCTCCTTTGAGAGAGGGTCTCATGTAGCCCAGGATGGTCTCTAACTCTCTATGCAGCTGAGGATGAGTTTGAACTTCTGATCCTCCTGCCTCCACCTCCTAAGTGCTGAGATGATTAAGTGTGTATCACACTTGTTTTGTTTTTTAGTGTTTTGTTGTTTCATTATTTTTTACACCTATTTACTTAGTTTGGTTTATGTGTCCGTGTGGAGGTTAGAGGACAACTTTCAGAATCAGTTCTCTCCATCATGTGGGGACTGGGACCAAACTCAGGCCATCAGGCTTGACAGTGGCAAGCACCTTTACCCACTGAGCCGTCTCAACAGCCCTGCAGACAGTCTCAGGGACCAGCGAAAGGAGAAAGGTTTAGAGAATGCATACCTCACAGAACTCCAAGAAGCTGGCATAGCTCTGAAGGGTGGTTCCCTGGGTGGGACAATGCCTCAAAGGACGCACATGGCTGGGTGTCATGGCACATGCCTCTAATTCTAGCTGGAGGCTAGCTAGAACTATATACTGCTCTCAGAAGTAAGGACCGGTAGCATGTGGCTCAGTTGGTAGTGTGCCTGTCAAGCACACATGAAACCCTGGGCTCCATCCCTGGGAACCCATGAACTAACTGTGGTGATGAAGTCCTGTCACCCTAATACTTGGGAGGCAGAGGCTGGAGGATCAGGAATTCAGGGTCATCCTTTGCTACACAGAGACTTTACAGTCAGTATGGACTCCACAAGACCCTGTCAGCAAAGGAATGACTACAAGAGTGAGGGGGCGTGGTGGTACAGCCCCATAGTCACAGAACTTGGAGGGCTGAGGCAGGAGGATCTGCAAATTTGAAGCCAGACTGTGATACATAGCAAGATTCTGTCTCAAAAAACCAAGACAAGGGCCTGGGATATGGCTCAGTGGGTCTGGGCTCGCCACTCAAGCATGAGGAACTACGTTAGGATCCCTAGCACCCACATAGAGCCATGTATGATGGTGCTTGTCTGTAACCACAGAACTATTGAAGTGGGGTGGGGTAAGAGGCAGGGGGTCCCCGGAGGCTCCAGGGTTAGCTAGCCTGGTGGCAAACAATAGAGTTGACATCTCAAACAAGGCAGAAGGTAAGAATAGATACCCACGGTTATTCCTCTGCCTGCCACAGATGTGCCACGGCATCACTGCACGTGTGTGTGTCCACACAACACCCCCACACATCGTACAGCCACATCCTCTCACACACAAACACAGAGTTTTGTTTCTTACCTTGATTAAGTTTTGAAACTTCTTGCTCTGCTGCAGCAGTAACTTGTAGTGACTGACGGCGTCGTTGTGGCCGCTGCAGAACACGCCGTACTTCTCTTTCATCCTCTCTCCGCTTTCCCCCGAGAACTAACGTGGAAAGGAGTGTGAATGCCGTGGATGCTCCAGAGCATGTTTCCATCTAGTTCATCTGGTTGTGCTAAGAACTGCATTTTTCCGGAATGTTTCCTCGCAACACCTCCTTGGCGCCTCAGCAAGCACAAGAGGTGAGGGAACTTGAGCTCTGCCTGCCCCCACTCTCCAGGTGCTTCCGGTCCACACTGTCATGTGGCCTACTCTATTGCTAGATTAAGTGAGTCCTAAAAGTACATTTTCCCTGTCATATCCACTTTCTGCAATGATCAAGGAATGATTTCTTTCCTTTTTAGTGCAGTGTTTTCTTATGTTGTGAGGCTGGCCTCAAACTCTTGATTCCAGCCCCTCTGCCTATCTAGTCCCTGGATCCGAAGGGATCAGCTGAAGTAAGCAGCCCTACAATGGATGGCTTTAGCCCCAAAGTATGCTTGTAGTCATCAGAGACTGGGCCCTGGGAGATGGCTCAGTGGTCGCAGCATTTAAGCATAAAGACCTGAGCTTAGGTCCTCAGCACCCACCGAAAAAGCTGGGTCTGGCAGCATGTGCCTGTAACCCCAGTGCCTGGAGGCAGGGACAGGAGGATTGCAGGGTCTTACCGGGCAGCTGACCAATCACAACAGTGAGCTCCAGGTTCATTCAAAGCCCCCGACCCAGCCTGGCATGGTGGCACATGGTGGAAGGTGAGGACCAACTCCTGGAAGCTGTCCTCTGACTTCCTCAAGCACACCATGTCACATGCACGACCACCCATATAATAGTTTATCTTAAAAAAAAAAAAAACAACCGAGGTGTGTAATGATGGAGGACACCTGACATCAACCTCTGGCCCCAACAGGCACCTGCACTGCCATGCATATACCATCCCCTAGCAGCTGGGGGCTGGAGATGTGATTCAGCAAAGTGTCTGTCTAGCATACCCAAAGCCCTGGCCACAATCCCCAGCATTGCATAAACTGGTGTATCTGAACACTGGTAATCCCAGCACTCAGGAAGTGGGGGGAGGCTAAGAGGATCAGTTCAGAGTTCAAGCCAGGTGAACTACATGAGTTCCTGCCTGAACCTCCTCCCGCCCCCACAAAACCTAACAAGTTACCAACCAAGGAAACAAAATCAGAAGTTTTTTACTTTTAAGATAGGATCTCAGCCGGGCGGTGGTGGCGCACGCCTTTAATCCCAGCACTCGGGAGGCAGAGCCAGGTGGATCTCTGTGAGTTCGAGGCCAGCCTGGGCTACAGCGCGAGATCCAGGAAAGGCGCAAAGCTACACAGAGAAACCCTGTCTCGAAAAACCAAAAAAAAAAAAAAAAAAAAAAAAAAAAGATAGGATCTCTAGTCCCAGGATGGACTTCACTTCGCTATGCAGATGAGGATGATGAACTCCTGATCCTCCCAAGTGGATTATAGGCAGGAACCCCATGCCCAGGTTCTGTGTAGTGCTGGGGATGGTACTCAAGGCTTTGTGCGTGCCAGGCAAGTGCTCTATCAACTGAGGCTGATTCCCTAGCCAAAAATGTAATTCTGAACAGTATTTAGACGTGTCTGCTTGCCATTCCAGCCTCAAGTGACACGAGCAGGCTGGATAAGAGCTGGCACTGTGTGCTTCCTAGGATGGTAGGCATGTGATAACACCAGAGCCATCATCTTTTCAGAAAGAAGGAAGACAGGGTGGAGAGGGGTGTGGCCCATCCTGGTTACAGTACCTACCTGCTGGACCAGGACATCCCCAATCTTTTGGATGACATAATTCCGGTCACTGCCCTCCTCCAGGAACTCCTGCCGGCGCTCCTTGAGGCGGGCCAGGAAGTGGCTGTGCATTTCCAATAGGTCATCAGCACATGGGAATAGGCGGCTGACCGCCTGGCCACTGAACTGCAGCTCCTCCCGCAGGGCCCTGGAGTAGACTTTCAGCATGATCTTGAGGGTGCGCACGTGGTGCGCCTCTGTCTGCATCAGCTCTGCAGGGACAGAGGCATGGGAAGGTTCACCTTGGTTCCCAGGGTACTACTCACAGCTGCTGTAGGCCTGCTGCAGCTGGTTGACCCTGCCTGCTCTCTGCCTAAGTCTCTGTTCTGCGTGCGCGCACATACACACACACACACACACACACACACACACACACACACACACACACACACACACACTCCTTTTTTCTGTGTAGCCACACCTAGCACACATATATACTTATATTTATGTATATGGTGCATAGGGAGGCCGGGGGCCCTAGGTTCTATCTTCAGTTACTTCACAAACAACAACAAAACAACAGGAAAGAAGAAATAGTCTTGGGCTGTGGATGGATGTAGCTCTGTAGGTGAGAGTACTTGCCCAGTGTGCATAAGGCTCTAGGGTCCATCCTCAACACCTTAAAAACCTGGATGTAGCGTTGTATTATTGAAGTTCCAGTATGTGGAAGGTTGAGGTGGTCATGTCAGGAGTTCAAGGTCATCCCCCGTTCAGTGCTGCTAGGGGGTGGGGGCACAACTGACTCCTAACTTACTGTGTTGCCTAGGCTGGCTCCGAACTCAAACGCCTTCATTCCTGCCTTAGTGACAACAGGTGTATCCCATCACACTTGGCCTTGTAGCCTTTCTTAATTAGGAGTGTGCCCTCCCTGAAGTGCTATGTGAGTCTGAAGCCAAAGGAGCTTGAAAAAAAGTATTTAAGAATGAGCTGTGGAACCCCAATGTCCCAGAAGCCTCTATCCTTGAGGTCAAGAAGGCCATGATGAGTAACTTCTAGCCTTGGTGGGGGGGTGAAACTTGCATGTCTCTACATGCATGCATGTGATCAAACACAGACCTCAACAGACCCGATGTCTGCAGTCTATTCATGTGCTAAAGTTTAACCTCCATGTTACTAAGAGCATGGCTGTAGGGGTGTTTGCCTGTCATGAACAAAGACTTGAGTTCCCTACCCCACCCCCAGCATCCCATAAACCAGGCCTATCATCCCACAACTCTGGCAGTGAAGGCAGGAGGATCAAAGTTTCAGGTCAACTTTGCTCATTTACAAAGCAAGTTTGAGACTAGCCTGGGCTACATGAGAGACTCTGCCTGAAAAACAAAACCAAACAAACTAACAAAAAAGGCGAGCTTCTCAGGGAAGCAGAGACATCACAGATGGGAAGATCTTTACAGAGCAGGATCCTGGGCCGGCTAGATGGCTCGGGGTTGCTGCCTGAGCTTGGTGACTTCACATGTTGTGCACACACGGCCCAGGGGAGGCTATGGAAGAGGTAGAAGGGCTGTGAGAGCCTGAGGACCAGGCCAACTGCCGCATGATGGTCTTCTGGACAGAACAGGGACGCTATACCTGTGAAATCTCAACAATAGGGCTACCTGCACAAGATCTGAAAGACCACATACCAACACAGGTGGAGGCATGTGTCACAGGGCTCCACTCCTAGATGAAGTAGACAATGGTTCCTGAAGGAGGGAGAGCCATTTCAGCCCCTCCCCCACGCCAGGGCTAAGATCCCAATCCTAAGGGGTCAGCCCTAAATATATGTTCACAGGGGCAATGCTAACTGGACTCCGTAGGTCACATACACACACACATATATAGTATGTGATATATACATTCATAAAGGTATGTATATGAGAAGAGGTCATGAATTTGAGAGCAGGTGGTTGGTGGAGCACAGGAGGAGTTGGAGGGAGAGGAAGGAATGAAAATTATATAAATACAGTGTATTCAGGTATGAAATCCTCAAATTAAAAATCAGTAAAAAAAAATAATAAATCAAAGGAGGTTAGAGATGCAACCAGTGGCCAGCAGGTGCTTTGGATTTGAAGTTAATATACACACGAAAGAGGTTTCTGCTCCTCAAATGATTTGAAGGCAGGGCAGCTGGTTTTCACCAAATTCTGAATCTACACCCATCTTGGACTTCTCAGTCTCTAGAACTCAATGGGCAATAAACTTCTGTTTAAACACCAACTTGCTGATGGCATTCTGTCCTAGCAGCCCAAACAGAAGGAGACAGTCACCAACGAGGTCAGAATGAGTCAGCCCTGGGCACTTGGCCAGGCTAGTTTTCAGAGACCTGTGTTAACAAAGCCCTCCCTGGTACAACAGGTAGGGCTGTCCCCAGGGAGTGGTGGGTGGGGCAGATTACAGGGTCTCCGGAGAGGCCGGCTAAGTAGCTCAGACTTAGGTGGAATTAGGGAAAGAAAGATATAAAAAATAATGGAGCTGGGATGTAGCACAGTTGGTCGAGTGCTTGCTTAGCATGCACCAGGGCCTGGGTTCATTTCCAGCCCTGCAGAAACCAGGTGGGGTGGTGCATGTCTGTAATCCCAAGCACAGAGGCGGAGGAAGTTCAAGGTTATCTGAGGTGACATGGTGAGTCTGAGGCTATGAGACTATCTCAAAAACAAAACAAAACAGGACTGGTAAGATGGCTCTGTGGACAAAGACGTTGGCCGCCAAGCCTGATGACCTGCATTGGATCTCTGTGTCCTATACGGCAGAGAGAACTGACTCTCCTAAGTTGTAGTCTAGCCTCCACGTGGAGCCCTGCCGCTCAGGCAGGCAGGCACGCACTCACATGCATTTTTACAAAAGAATGGGAAGAGAAGAGTTACAGAGAGGGCTGGCGTGGCGGCACAGGCATCTGGCACCTTACCATACAGGACGTCCTGTCTCTTCACCACCTCCTTCTTTTGTTTCTTGGCATATGCTAAATCCACAGAGAGGCTCCAGGACTCAGCCTCAAACTCATGGGCATCGGATTCAATCTCACACCTCAGGGAGGCAATGTAAGGATCTGGGGGAAAGACAGAAGGTTGGTGATAAGGCTGGTGCTTACCACTTCCTGTTCCTTTCACGAGCATGCTGAAGCCTCTGGCCTTTCCCTGTAGAGATGGGAACCAGGTGGCATCCCTGGGAGAACACAGAGGATTGACCATACCTTCTATGAAAACAGACTCAGCATTCGAGGATGTGAGTGACAGAGAGTCATCGGCCGTCTGCTTCAATTTTAAAAACACGGAGTCGGCTTCATCCATGTCTCCAGTGATTGGTCTAAGTGGAAATGATTGTAATGTTTATTTCACAAAAAGAAATTAGAGACCGGCAGTGGTGGCACACACCTTTAATCCCAGCATTCAGGAGGCAGAGCCAGGCGGATCTCTGTGGGTTCGAGGCCAGCCTGGTCTATAAAGTGAGATGCAGGACAGGCACCAAAACTACACAGAGAAACCCTGTCTCAAAAAACCAAAAGAAATTAGGGCCAGTGAGGTAGCTCTATGGGTAAAGATGCTTCTAAGCCTGACTACCCGAGTTCAATCCCTGGGACTCACACGCAGAGAACTGACTCCACAATGCTGTCTTTGGACCTCCACATGTGCACAGTGCAATGTGCACACACACATATTTACACAGACACAGACATACACACATATAATACAAACAACCCTGCCCACCCCCCCAAAAAAAACCAACCAACAAATGTGGATTAAATAGTCATGTATTCCTTGGAATATGTCAGATGTTTCTCCTGATTAGATGACTGGAGAAGAACACTTTAACTTGTCACAGATCATCATGAAAAATTAGGAGACTACTGGGCTAGGGATATAGTTCAAAGTTAGAGTGCTTGCTCAGGACGCTCAAGGCTATGGATCCCACCCTCATTGAGGAGGGAGTAGGAGGAGGGGGAGGGGGAGGAGAGAAGGGAAAGAATCAGAGAGACATAATTTGGAATTCTAGGTGAGTCCTCAGAGAGACCGCATTAGGGGAAAAGTCTAAATTTCCAACTGAAGTCTGGATTTGGGTTAGGTTGGTTCTGTGTATCAGCTGCTGGTTCAACTGTAAAAATGTGCTGTACTGGTCCCACAATAGAGGCAGCTGTGTGTACTATGGGGAGGCTGTCGAAGAGTCTGGAGATTCTGCTGCTTGCTCACATTTTCCTGGAAACGTAAAAAGATTCTAGCAGCTGGGGGTGTGGCTCATCAGCAGAGTGCTTGCTCAACTACTGATGACACAGTAAGCTGTCTCAGTACGTCTGTGCAGGAGTGCGTAACATGCACTTCCTTTTACTGGCGACCGCAGGGTTCCTCCTAAGGACTTAAGAGAGACACAGCCTCACAGCAATGTGAAGCAGGAAAAGAAAATCAGCTCCTTTCCCCAGAGACTCACCAGCGAACATGACCATAATGCTATGCCATGGCTTACTCAGTGCTGCTGGTCCTATATTGACAGGACCATCTTGACATCCCGTGAAGCCACATGAGGCATATACACTGAGCTATAAAGTCGTCAGTATGTCTCGAGGACAGGAAAAGACCCTGTCTAGGGATGTCAACCCAGGACGTTAGGCAAACTGCCTCTACCTGCGGCTGAACATAATCAGGGACACGTTAGCATTACAAAAAGAAAATGTATGTACTGGGCCAGTGAGATGGTTCAGCTGGTAAAGGTGCTTGTTAACAAGACCTGATGACCTGAGTTCAATCCCTGGGTCTCACACAGTCGAAGGAGAGAATCAACTCCTGAAAGCTGTCCTCTGACCTCCACAAGGTCCCATACATGCACAAACTAAGTAAACGCAATCTTTAAAAAAAAGTTTGAGGTCATCTTTAGCTACACTGTGGGTTCCAGGCCGGCCTGGACTGTAAGACAAAGCTCTGATGAGATGATGATGATGGAGATGATAAACTTTAAAAGCATGGACTCAGAAAGCATGTGTTAATGGGTGATCAACCACGGGACATAAGTAAAGGAGTTTCTTTTCCCACCCCCTGTGAGTGTACATGCTAGCAGGAGGGAAACCCCCCAGCTTACCCAGGTCGCACCCCAGAACCGGCTGGGCTTGGTGTTGGCTGGGGACCCCCTTTCTGAGAGACGGTCATGCCGACATTCCTGGAAGGAGCTGGGCTGCTGCCATCAGACAGGAGCGTGGTCCGAGGGTGCTCCTTCAGGGAGGCTGCAACAGAGGCAAACACAGAGTTGGTGCTGAGAAAGTGGGCAGGGTAGCGGAGGTCACCTGTCCTGAAGCCTCGCTCTGCCTGCGCCTGGGGCTTCAGCACCGAGAGGATCTTGGAAGTCAATAGCTCATTATCCAAGAAGACATTCTCGCTCCATTTCCTGGGGAGGGAGCCGTAGAAAGGCAGCTCAGGGCGGCCAGGGAGTGCCCCCCGCCTGTCACCACCCTTGGAATGTGTGGTCCCCATGCTGGCAACCTGGTGCTGCACCCAGGCTGTGCTGTGCTGGTTTTGATGCCTTGGGTGGGATCCTTCTAGAAAACAAAGCTGCGTCTTCCCTTGCTGTATTGGCTGGAGCAGTGGGGCTGGTATGCTGGAAATTGGTTCCCACTGTGAGTGTTTGGTGTAGAAACGGCACAGAATTTTCTCTTTGGGTAAAACAATTAAAAAAAAAAAAAAAAGGATCAACTCTCCCACACTCTGCTTGCTCTTTGCAGGGGGCGACAACAGAGGACAGCTTGTGTTCACGGCAAATCATCTACCACCAGGAGCTGTGCACTTGGCGTGTTTGGCGCAGACACTACACACAGGATGATAATTAATCTGAGATTGGATGTCAGGATAACGCCGAGACCTATAGACCTGGAGGCATGATGCTGATTTAGCTGGCCGTCTCATCAGCCCTGGGGTAGAATCATCAGAGTACACCTGAGGCTCCTTATTCTGTTCAGAGTTCCGAACTGTTTTTTACTCCAGCTGCTTACTTTTAGGATCTGGACAGGAGGATACATGTACCCACTGATGGAAATGGAAATGTTTCCCACTGACTGAAAACTGGTGGGGGGGAAAAAAAGCAATGCTGGGAATGGAATCCAAGACAGCATACATGCTAGGCAGGTGCTGTACTACTGAACCACACCCTAATCCCTCATTGGAAGATTCTAGGCAAGCGTTCCAACTCCCTCCAAGCACCCTCAGCCCAGCCCCTCACTGGGGAATTCTGGGCAGATAGTCTACTTCTGAGCCATGCCCCCACCCCCTCAGGACTGGTTCCATGTGTTAAGACAGCAGGAAGACCTTTGCTGGGTGCTGCTGTAGTCTCAATTTCTCGGCCTCCAAATCCACTGGCCAGATAACTCACATGCCCTGCCTCCCTCAGTTACCAGTATTTTGTTAAAGAAACAAAAAACAGACTATGTTGGAAATTCTCTGACAGGGCCATGGAGGAAGCTTATAAATTAAGGTATGGATTACTATCTGTTACAAACATTTTCAATTAAAATTTATTCTTAATTCTTAAAAAGTTTATTTCTTCTTTATTTCTCTGTGTAGCCCTGGCTGGCCTGGAACTAGTTAGGTAGCTGAGTATAACTTTGTATTTCTGAAAGTCCTGCCTCCATCTCCCAAGTGCCAGGATCACAGCTGTGTACCAGCATACCTTTTACTGGATGCTGGACACAACACAGGGATTCATATATAGTAGGCAAGTGATCTACCAACTGAGCAACATCCCTAGCCCTCATAACATTCAATATTTGCAACAGCCCAGCATGGTAGGGATGTTACCCACCCTGCCTCAGATGTTCTGATGTCTCATGTTAATAAATGTCTAACAATTGTTATTATTATGGTGGATGATGCCCACTTAGATGCCATCCACACACAAATACCCATTTACAAATAAAATTGAAGTGGTTCAGGTCAGGGCAGGCATTTCCTGCTATTCGTACACCATACCAAACCCCACCCAGGCAACGATGATTTAAACACGCAAATATGGGAGAAACCTGAATGGCAGCCTCTGCTGGGGCCCTTATCATGGCTAGCTGTTCCTGTGAACTAAGGTCTGACCCAAAGTTGAACAGATTCTGCTTTCATTCTGTTCAGAAAAGAGAAAGTATAAACACCATCTAGGAATGGTCAGCTCCAAAGAATTTTTAATACATATTGTTTATCGTGGGTCTTGGGGACATACACCTGTAATCTGAACAGTGGGGAGGATGAGACCAGAGGATCACGAGTTTAAAGCCAGCCTGTCGCAAAAACAAAAACAAAAAACCAAAGGGCTTGGAGAGATGGCTAGTGACAGGTTAAGAGTGCTTGCTGTTCTTGCAGAAGATCCGGGTTCAGTTCCCAGCACCCACATGGCAGTTCACAACCACCTGTAATTCCAGTTTCAAGAGATCTGAAACATTCTTCTGGCTTCCTTGACCACCACCATGTACCTGTACACGTGAGCACACACACATCTATACATATACCAGCATGTACTTGTGCACCCGTGCACACACATATACACACATAAAGTACACAAGCTAACAAGGGCTAGTGAGAGAACTCAGTGGACAAAGACCCTTTGCCTGATGACCTGACTTTGGTCCCCTCAGTCCCCTGAACCCACACAGCAGGAGGAGAGAGACGACCCCTGCCAGTTGCCCTCTTTTTACTTCGTTTGTTCTTCAAGACAGGGTTTCTCTGTGTAACAGGCCTACCTGTCCTGGAACTCACTCTGTAGACCAGGCTAGCCTTGAACTCACAGAGATCTGCCTCTCTCTACCTCCACCATGCCCGACACAAGTTGTCCTCTTATCCTAAACACATGTGCCCTTACAGACAATCTTCCCCCCACCAGTTAAAAATATTAAAACAAACTAAACAAACAAATTAAAAAAAAAAACCCTAAAACCAAAGGCTGGGGTTATAGCTTGATGGTAGAGTGCTTACCTGGCATGTCCCAGGCTCTGGTTTGATGCCTAGCTGTTTGTTACAAGAATTAACAGTCGCCTTGGAGGTCATTGAGGATGGATCCCACCTCTTATTTCCCTGGTAACACCAGAAAGGGAAACCCCTTCTTAATTTTTAAACCAAAGCCCTATTAAGATAAAGCTACTTCTGCCTGTTCAAAATAGGATAGAATCTAAGTTCTTCCTCTGGCCCTGAGAGGAAACCTGGCATTCTAAGCCACCCAAAACATCACAAACTATTATCTTCTTTCAAGACTTAATCCAGCTCTGTCTGTCACTCACCTGGCCAGAGCTCATGCTCCAGAATAAAGGCTAATTGTCTCCTTAATGAGCTGGTGTGCTCACCCTTCAGGGAGCCCCTCCTCTGTGCAGCTGCTGGCAGGGCTGTGAGTCCTCAGAAAAGTCAACCATTTTCTGATTTTTTCCTTTCCCTTGGGATACCAGCCCAAGTCCAAACATGCTTTCCCTGCTGCTCTGGGCCTTTTCAGCTTTTCTCTAACGCCCTCCACCTCCCTCTACCATGCCGTGACTTGCTGACCTCCACTGCAAAAGGAAAGCTGTTCTCTATTCCTCTTCTCCATCCTCCTCCTCGGGTCAACTGCCAAGGTTTATGGCTCATCTGTTCTGTAGTTTTCCCCTCAAACTCTAAAGATCTGATGATTGTGTGTGTGTGTGTGTGTGTGTGTGTGCGCGCACACATGCATGTGGGTACCTGAGGCGGCCAGAAAAGAGCATTGCCCTGGAGCTGGAGTTACAGGACATGGAGAGCTGCACCATTGTGTACTGGGAACTGAACTCAGGTCCTCTCCAAGAGCAGTACACAGTCTAAACCAGAGCCATCTCTTCAGCCCCTATTTTCCTAAAAATAAATTGTCTTTGATCTCCCTTCCAAGTCCATTTTAAAATCCTTTTACTAATGAGTCTATGAACCCAGAAGGAAACCTCAGTTTCCCCAGTGCAGCAGCACTGCAAACAAAGACAATAAAACAAACACTAGCATGGGCACAGTGTGGTGGCGCACGCCTTTAATTCCAGCACTTAGAAAGCAGAGGCAGGTGGATCTCTGAGTTCAAGACCAGCCTGGTTGACACAGCAAATTCTCGGCCAGCCAGGACTACCTAGTGAGACCCTGTCACAAACATCCCCCCAAACAACAACTATCAGCAATGCTAAAAGTATTGTAGCATGCTTAAATGCTCTTTGTATGATTTAAAAAGCAATGTGAAGTGTTTGTGGGTTTTTTTTTTTTTGGTTTTTCGAGACAGGGTTTCTCTGTGTAGCTTTGCGCCTTTCCTGGAACTCGCTCTGTAGACTAGGCTGGCCTTGAACTCACAGAGATCCGCCTGGCTCTGCCTCCCGAGTGCTGGGATTAAAGGCGTGCGCCACCACCGCCCGGCAAGTGTTTGTGTTTTTAAAATGTATTTTTAAAAATGCATATTAGTGTGTGCATATTGTGTGTGCATCATGTACCAAGTTCATGCCTGGTACCTGTAAAGGCCAGAAGAGGCTATCAGACCCTCTGGAATTGGAGTTAAACAAGGTTGTGAGGCAACATATGGGTGCTGAGAACCAAACCCTGGTCCTCTCAAGAGCAGTCGCTGCTCTAAACCTCTGAGCTAGCTCTCCAGCCCCAAGTGTTTGTGTCTTATGGTGGATGGGTCCAAACTGACTCTCTCGGTATTGTATGTAGCCATGGAAGAACATCATGAGCCAGGAGCTCTGCCCTAAACAGGTATATGAATTATGCTTTTCTCTCTGTTTTTTTTATTTTTTATTTTTTTTTTATTTTGGTTTTTCGAGACAGGGTTTCTCTGTGTAGCTTTGAGCCTTTCCTGGAACTCACTTTGTAGACCAGGCTGGTCTTGAACTCACAGAGATCCACCTGCCTCTGCCTCCCGAGTACTGGGATTAAAGGCGTGCGCCACCACCGCCCAGCTCTCTCTGTTTTTTGAGATGAGGTTTCTTTATGTAGCCCAACTGTCTTAGAACTCACTCTGGAGACCAGGCTGGCCTCTAACTCACAGAGGTCCACCACCCCTGCCTCCTGAGTGCTGGGATCAAAGGTGTGCACTACCACCACCTAGCTTATTCTAAGTTTTTGATGCTTTGGGATTTACGAATCCTAATGGGACCATCCCTCTTAAATGTCAAGGCTAGCCAACCCCTAGAGACAATAAAAGATTCATATGTAGCCATGAGATGCTCACTGAGCAAAGGCATTTGCTGCAGAGCAAGGTGACCTGAGTTTGATCCCTGAGACCCACATGGTGAAATAAGAACCAACTATGAAAATGTGTCCTTTGACTTCCACAGCATGCTGTTGCATGGCATGTGTGCCCACAAATAAATAAGTCAATAAATAAACGTAAACTTAAAAATATAAAGATATCCATCTCTCTCTCATACAGAAAGCAGTCAATTCATAGTCAACACCCACAGACAGGGTCTACGTGGCTATGGATCATCCACACACACTAAAACCTACCTCATACTCTTGCTGCTCCTTCAGCCACAACAAACTCCTCCGTGATACTTGGCTTTAATCCTCCACTCAACACAACCTACAGTTTCGAGGGAAGAGTCTCAATGAGGAATTTCTACACTGGGTTGATCTGTGTCTGTGGGGGATCATCTTAATTAAGTTAATTGACGCAGGAAGGTCCAGCCTAATGCGAACAATACTATTCCCTAGGCAGGGATCCTGACCTGTGTAAGAGCACAGCCAGCCAGGGGGTCTGCCTGCAACTCATTTCTCTCCACTCTTGACTGCAGATGTGATATGACTAGCTGTGTGGAGTTCCGCTTTGACTTCCCAGGATATAGTGATGGAATGCAACCTTGAATTGTAAGCTGAATCTAACCCTTTCTCCCCTAAGATGCTTACCACAGCAACAGAAACAAAGATGCCTCCCTTCTCTAAGTTGTTTCTGTCGGGTGTTTGGATAACAGTGAGAGTAGTCATTAACACGGGGTCTCACTCTGTAGTCCTGGCTGACGTGAAACTCCATGTTGGCTTTGAACTCAAGGCAATCCTCCTGCTTCAGGCTTTACAGCCTGGTTCCCATGCACCTTCTTTCCCAGCTGTTCTCTACATAGGCCAAATTCCATCTGCTCTATCATCCCAAAGCCAGGTAGGTACAAGGCTGTAAGGCAGTGGTTCTCAACCTTCCTAATGCTGCGACCCTTTAATAATTCCTCATGTTGTGGTGACCCCAATCATAAAATTATTTTCGTTGCTACTTCATAACTATAATTTTGCTACTGTTATGGATTGTAATGTAAACATCTGTGTTTTCTGATGGTTTTAGGCAACCCCTGTGAAAGGGTTGTTTGACCCCCAAAGGGGTCTCGACCCACAGATTGAGAACTGCTGCTGTAAGGGCCTAAGGCTGCTGAGATGATTGGCACCTATCAATCTGAACCCTACCCATTCTTGCTCCTTCCAGCAGAAGCCACCCTTGAAGATTCTGTCTACATTTCCTCTTCACGCCCTCTGCCTTCGACTAACCAGGGTACCCCAGTGGGCCCCGCATGCAGTGCTGTGCTGCCTGCTTCTAGACAACTGTGAGCCACACTTCCTTCGTGGCCGTCCCTTCGCGTTTGTGTGTCTTATCATCCTTATTCAAACAGGTCCAAGCCACCCTTCACACACCAGGGGCTCATGGGCATGGAGGTCTGCCTGTAGGGACATGTGAAGCCATGGGTCTAGGGCTCCCTTCCTCTAAACAGATAACGTGGAACGGAAGCTGTGTGGTGCTTTGGAAAATGTAAACTTGCTTGGGAAATGGCACAGTGGGGTAAGAGCACTTGCTGTGAAAGCAAGAGAACTGAGTGCAAATTACCAGCATTCTTGTAAAAGCCATGTGTGGTGATATACTGCATACCCTAATAAAATTTGCCTGAACATCAGAGAGACAAAGGAACAAGCCACTGTCACGTCTTACCTCTAGGACTCCTCAGCCTGAAAAGCCTTTAGTTCCTGTCTCCTCACACCTTATATACCTTTCTCTGCCCAGCCATTAAAGGCGTGTGATTCCCAAGTACTGGGATTAAAGGTGTGTGCACCCACTGCCTGGGTTCTGTTTCTCTCCTAAACTGAGTCAATCTCATGTAGTCCGCAGTGGCTTTGAACTCACAGAGATCCAGACGGATTTCTGCCTCCCCAGTGCGTGCTAGGATTATAGGTGTGTGCCACCACTGCCTGGCTTCTATGTTTAATCTAGTGACTTGTTCTGTTCTTTGATCTTCAGGCAAATTTTATCAGGGTACACAATATATCACTACACCATGCATCCCTGAAACCTACTGTGGTGATTTGAAAGAAAATGGCCCCTACAGGGGAGTGGCACTATTGGGAAGTGTGGCCTTGTTGGAGGAAGTGTGTCATTGTGGTCTCTTTCAATCAATCTTCCCTCAGTGTGACTATCAGCTGACTTCCTGTTGCCTCTGAGCCAAGATGTAAGGACTGTCAGCTCCAGCACCACATCTGCCTGCATGCCGCCACGCTCCCTGCCATGATGATGATGGACTGAACCTCTGGAACTGTAAGCGAGTACCTCAACTAAATGTTTCCTTTACAAGAGTGTCTCTTCACAGCAATGAAAACCCTAAGACACCCATGTCGCTTTGTGAAGAGAGCAAGAGCTTGCTGGCCAGCTAGGCTAGGCAAAGCAATAAGTTCAAGTTTAGGGAGAGACCAGATCTCAAAATCACGATGGAGGGGCTGGAGAGCAGTCAAGAGACCGGCTGCTCTTCCAGAGAACCCAGGTGAGATTCTCTCACTCAAATGATAGGTAACAGCCATCCGTAACTCCAGCTCTAAGAGGGTCTGATGCCTACTTCTGGCCTCCATAGGCACTGAGCACATGATACACAGACGAAACCATCTATAACTCCAGTTCCAGAGAATCTGACCTTCTTCTGGCCTCAATAGGCTCCTGTATGTAAATGGTACACATACAGACATAGAGGCGAACACTCATACACATAAGATAAAAATTAATAAATCTTTAAAAAAATGAGGTGGAAAGGGATTGAGGAAGGTACTGGATGTTGACCTCTAGCTTCTGCATGCACAAACATAGGTACCACACACACACACAGATGTATGCATCTACCAGACACACACACACACACACACACACACACACACGAATGCTGTAACCATACTCTTGGATATGTGTGTTAAAACAACACAATAGGGGCTGTTCATAGCAATGCAGTCTGTGGGAGTCAGCAGTGGAAACTGCTCAATCATCTATCAACCTACTGTCCAGTGGATGACCCCAGCACGGTCCAACCCAGCTATGGAAGAAACACAGCTGGCCTCTAGGGGGAAGTCAGGTCCAGGTCAGGTCCAGCAAAGAGGCTCAGTGGGGAAGTGAGTGATGTGTAAGCCTGGCAGGCAGAGTGTAAAACAAGCTGAACCTGGGGCTGGAGACAGCCCAGTGCTCAAGAGCACATACTCATCTTGCAAAGGACCTGAATTTGGTTCCCAGCACCCACATTGGGTAGCTCACAACTATCCTAATTCCAGCTCCTCTAGCCTCTAGCCTCCTCAGGCACACAAATGCATGTACACACATCCTCACACTTTGACATGATTTAAAATAAATCTTCAACGAAAGTATGGCTGTGATGCGTTTGTAATTTCCACAATCCTATAGCAGGATGGGAGGCGGAAGTCCAGCTAGCTTGGAGTACGAAGCAGAGAGGCAGAAGCAGGAGAAACCCTGCTTTGACAAAGTGGATGGAGAGAATAAACTCCCCAGTTTTCTCCGCTCCCTACACATATGTAATGGTGCACATGTCCCCACACCAACATAACAAATAATAAAAACAAATATTTAGAAATCAAACCCCAAAGACAACTGTCTGCACGAATCCACTGATAGGAAATGTCCAGGCTGGTCTATCGAGGAAGAAAGGAGATGTAATAGCTGCTGGGAGCTGGGCGAGGGACAGGAGCATAACTGGGAATGAACTAGTGAGTATGGAATTTTCTTTGGGAAGTTACATTTCCTTCTGATTTTGAACAGGGTGGTATCAAACTTGCTATGTAGCTGAGGCTGACCTTGAAACTCACTGATCCTCCTGCCTCCACCTCCCCAGTGCTGGGATGACAGACATGCACACCACACTCAGTTTGTGCTGCTGGGGATGGAATCCAGGGCTTGGTGGATGCTAAGGAAGTGCTCTACCGATTACAATACATTCCCAACCCTCCTTTGGGAGTTCTAATTGATTATGGTCACCGTAAACATACTTACCTGAGCGACTGGGGTGGTAGCTATGTGAACTGTGCCTCAATAAAACTGCTAGGAAAACACACACATAGCTGTGTGGAAGCCGCCACCTTTCTGATTTGAAGATCACCATTCCCTCTGCATTGTCATTCTGCTCTTGGCTTCGAGACAGGAGAATACCTCCCAGTGCCTGCTTTCCTAAAGAAGATAGCCATGGTGGGAAGGAAGGGCAGTGGGTGGGGCTTGGACCTGGCCACACATGGAGATTTAGCCTGTTGCTGCCCCACACTATCCGTCAAGCCACAAAAGGCAATTTGGGGGCTGGGGATGTTGCTCATTGGTATAACGCTTGCCTAGCATGCAAGAAGCCCCGGTTCAATCCTCACCATTGAGTAACCCAGCATGGTGGCACCTGCCTGTAATCCACCCCCACTGAGGAGGTGGAGGAAAGTGGATCATGAGTTCAAGGTCATCATGAGCTAAAGAGCAAACTGGAGACTCCTTCTCAAAAGGTGAAAGGAACTGGTGTGGACCTGCAGGGTGCTTGCCGAGTATTCATAAAGTCCTGGGCTTGATCTGCAGCACTGGGAGAGAAAACTTGTCACTCTGGAGCTCAATTAGCACTGTCCGCCATCCCTGCCAAGAGCTGGGATTGATCTGCCAGGCACCTGGTGGCTGGAGCACTTGTATGACACAAAGCTGTTTCTGCAAGGGGCCCAGAGAGGAGGTGGAGCCAACAGTGAAATGGAAAAAGTTCTTTGTACACAGGGGATAAGAAAACCCACTCGCTCTCTGGAAGAGACAACAGGCTGTTTTCAAGATGATTTACAGTTTGTATTTAGTGTGTGTCTGTGCACACACCACACATGCGTGAGGAGGTCAGATGACAAGCAATGGGAGTTAGATCTTTCCTTCTACCAGGTGGGTCCTTGAGAACTGACTGTCATGACGTTTACCCGCTGAGCCAGCTCACTGGCCACAAGGATTTTCTTTTTCTTTTTCTTTTTTCAAACATATGTGTACTATGTGCATGCCTGGTACCCAAAGAGGCCAGAAGACAGCATCAGATCCCATGGGACTGGAGATGGCTATGAACCGCCATGTGGGTGCTAGGAATTGAACCTGGGTCATCTAGAAGAGCAACCAGTGCTCTTAACTGCTGAACCATAAGCTTCAAGACGATTTTTTAAACCCTGTTTGAGTTTTTTGTACTTAACAGCACTTTCCTGAACAAGATGGAGGCCTTGGGTTTGCATGACACATGTCAAGGATCTCACCCACAGAATTTACAGGAGCAAACAGCCTGTGCTGTGAGGGTCAGGCTCTCAGGACCTACTGTGCAGCTATGGCCACCTTATGACTCTGCCCCTCACAATTTCTCCAAGGATGGAGACCCAGTTCATGTTGTCACTGATTACATAGCATGCATGAGGCTCAGCCCCATCTACAGGTGGTGCACACCTGTAACCCAGTACCATCTACAGGTGATGCACACCTGTAACCCAGCACTATCCACAGGTGATACACACCTGTAACCCAGCACCACCTACAGGTGATACACACCTGTAACCCAGCCCCATCTACAGGTGGTGCACACCTGTAATCCTGGAACTTGGGAGACAGAGGCAGGAGAATCAGGAGTTTAAAGTTACCTTTGTCTACATAGCTAGTAGCAAGGCTGGCTTGGCTACATGAGACTATCTCTAATTTTCTTTTACCCCCCCCCTTTCCCTTTTTGAGATGGGGGGTTGGTTCTCACTACTCTGTAGCCTGGGTTAGCTAGAAATTCACTATGAAGACCAGGCTGGCCTTAAACTCACAGCTATGCTTGCCTCTCCCTCCTGGGTAAACGGGATTAAGGTGTGTGCTGTTATTTCTGGCTACATTTTTCTTTAGGAAAACGTTCTTTCACATTTGTGTTTTGTGTGTGGTTTCTGTGTTTGGTAGTGGGGGCAGACAGAACTCGTGTGGACAGCTTGAGGGAGTCAGCTCTCTCATTCTACTACGAGGGTCATGGAAACTGAAGTCTTTGGGCACACCTGCTGAATCACACCCAACCCTGTGAGGATCTACAAAATAAAAAAGCAAAACAAAAGCCAAATCAAGGGGACAGAGAGTCAGTTTAGAGGGTAAGAGTCCCTGCTGTGGAAGCAGGAAAACCTGCGTTTGGATCTAAAGAACCATGTAAAATGCTGGGTGTGGTCACGCACGTGCTTGCAACCCTGGTGCTGCAGGAGGTAGAGACAAGAGATCTCTGGGGGGCCGCCAGCCTAGCTCCAGGTTCAGTGGGAGACCCTGCCAAGAGAATATGGTGGCTAGTGATAGAGCAGGACACTGGGTAGCCTCTGGCCTACGTACATGCACGCCATATGCAATCGAATAGTTTATTCCTTGTAGATACTACTCTCAAAGGAAGTCCAGTATGAAACATCTAGTGGTCTTCATCAGTTTTTGACTTTAATGTATAATCTAAGTGAACACAGATTCCAGAATTACCAAGTTTTGAAATGAAGCACGATGGCTCATATCTGTAATGTTAGCACTTGGGAGGGTGAGGCAGGAGGATTGCCACCGGTTTAAGGTCAGTCTGGGCTACAGTGCGAAAACTGCCACAAACAAACATACAACATAAAAACAAGCCCCAGAGCAGGCTCAGCAGGTCAGGTGCCCGCAGCCAACCCCAAGGACCTGAGTCTGATTCCCAGGATCCACATGCTGGAGGGAGAACCGACTCCTGCAAGCTGTCCTCCGACCTCCACATGCCCAATATGGCCTGTGCACCACCTCCCCACAAGAATAAATACAATAAAAATGTAAATGAAAAAGAAAGAAAATTCAAGCAAACTATCAACTCTTCTGTTCTGTGGGGAAGAAAAGGCCATGCTGGTGCTGGGACGGAAGTCCAGTGTGACCGGGCAAGTGCCTTCCACTGACACACTCTCAGCTCCGGCAATGTACATCTTAAAGCAGCAATTATGGAACACTTATCTCCTCCACTCTGTAGGTCTCAGTAATCTCGCCAGCCCTGCTGATGCCTCTCATGTCACTCTGACCATTAACATCTCTCCAAGGAAGCTGGGCCCTGGAATGGAAGTGTCCACAGTTTTCAGTAAAAGGGCCACCCTTGAGAAAATGAGAGAGAGAGAGAGAGAGAGAGAGAGAGAGAGAGAGAGAGAGAGAGAGAGAGAGAGAGAGAGAGAGAGAGAGTATTGGAAAACCACAGAGCTGGTCCCTCCACACAGAGGCAGCCCTGATGTCCTGTTCTGTCACCTGCTCTTTGGGGAAGATTCCTGTTACAGGCTGAAAGTGCTCCCTGGCTCTGGAGAGTTCTAGCAGGTGTTGGCTTGCTCTAGCTCAAGTGTTCAAGAGACAATTAAGAGCAAAATCGGATGCAAAGTGAAGTTTGCAATTCACAGTTCCTGCCGTCTCTGCCACCTGCAGAGCGACTGGATCGATGGGAGCAGGGACTCATTGATTTCTCTGCCCTGCCTTGTTCTCATGTTGCAGAGCAAGACAGCAAGAAAAATAATAAAGTACACTGGTGGGAGGGACAAGCTGCTTAGCGCCACAGCTCAGGGGACACAGCAAAATTAAAAGGACATCTTGTAGCTTGGAAGGTAAGTATGAGTCAGAAGGGCTATTCTCCCTCACCTAGTACAGTCACCGTCCATGTCTGCAGACTGTGCAGCCGCAGACTAGGGATTTGGGATGGAAAATACTGGGGGCAGACTGCTTCTTTAATTTAATTTTTTTAATTTTTGGGGAAATGTATTTAATTTTTTAAGGTTTATATTTTTATT